ATTTTTCGTTCTTGGGCCGGTTTGACTGAGTTTCGCGGGTTTGGGCCGTCCCGTTTCCGGGCCGGTTCTGTGCGGTCCACCGGATAAATCCGGTTTTCGCTACATTAGCGGTTTCACTCCCTACCGGACCGGGATTGAGTCCGGTTTGCCGGTTTCCGAGTCGAACCGGCCGGGCCGGTTCGGTTCTTGTAACATAGACCTAGACATCAATCACATTCCCTACCATTCTTCTAATATTGTTTTTCAGAATTTCTTGAGTTTCAAAAATGCTTCTCCAAATAAAAGAAGGGTTGGTCCCCATATTAAAGTCCAAAAATGATGACTTGGGATAATACCTGGCTTTAAGAACACAACAAATCAGGCTACCATCATCACTAGTAAGCTTCCATCCTTTCTTAGCTAACATTGCTATGTTGAATTCTCTAATTCTCTTGAACCCCAGACCCCCCGCCTCCCGCGGTCGACTCGGTTTCTCCCAACTCCGCCATCGTAGACCTTTCTGATCTAACTTCGTGCCTCTCCACCAAAAGTCATTCATCAACTTCTCAATGTTGTTACAAAGCTCTCGGGGTAATAAAAAAAACATTCATGGCATAGGACGGCATAGCCTGGACCGCATTCTTCAACAAAACAGCCCTCCCCGCTCTAGACAGAAACCTGCTATTCAAGCTCTTTATTCTGCTATAAATTCTGTCCCGAATATAACCTAAAATAGCGGACTTATTCCTTCCAACAAGAGCTGGTAAACCGAGATACTTACCTTGCTCCACCCCCGCCCGAATTTCCAGAGTAGCACGGCACTGCACCCTCTCGGCCTCCACGGTATTGGGGCTGAAAGCAACCGATGACTTATCAAAATTAACCACCTATCCCGACAACTCCCCATACTTGGATAGAATACTTTTAACTTTGCTGCATTCATTTTGATTAGCCCTAAAAAATAAAAAACTGTCATCCGCGAAAAACAAATGACTAACAATAGGAGCCCCTTTGGAGACCGCCACCCCATGAATTCCACCTCCCGCCACCGCTCGGTTAAGCATAGAGCTCAAACCTTCTGCCACTAAAATAAATAAATATGGAGATAGAGGATCCCCTTGTCTCACCCCCCCCCCTGTGACACCGCACCCGAACGTCCTTGAAAACTTGATTTTTAAAATTCAAAGTTTATGTATTGGATTTCTGATTCCCAAACGATTGTAAAACGATTAATGTTTTACGTAATTAATGATCGATTATTGTACTGTTCGAACTCGTATATAAGTATCGGGCCTTATTAATAAGTAAAAGAGCCTAACATTATCTAAATAGTAATACATAACGTTTCAAGACAAGTTGAGGAAGGGCGGGCGGCCCAGATATTATTTTGGGCTCAACCCGCTAGAATAGCAAGTATTCAAGAATGGCGTCGTAGGCCCACTCGGGGGCGACCCACACGGCTTGTAGCCTAATAATATGAATGGAAAATGTCAAAATAAGTGATAGGATGATTTGAGAAGAATACAAATGCCTATAACCCCATCTTTGGCATTATTGAGCTAAATAATGGGAGTAGGGTTTTTCTTCTATAATATTCATCATGTAAATTATTGGGATGCTCATACACATATTGGAGATCAATAATATGATGTAGAGAGTTGACTTGTTCCAAATAAATTAGAATGAGTACAAAGAGACATCTTATGACAAAGAGATCAAAAGTGAGACCCACCCATGTCTAAAAACATCTCATGGAGACCATACCAATTCATTTCACTCCACACAACTTATCCACCCTTATTGAAGGGTCTTGGACACTCCCTTAAGCCCCTCATTCGAACTCCCAAGGATAAGGGAGAAAGAGAGAGCCACACAACCAAGAAAGCAAGAGGAAGGGGAAGCTGCCGCAGGTTCGTTTTCCAGTGCGTAAGGTTACTTATTTTCTTCATATCTCGAGTTATACACATCCAAATAAGGCGTGCGAGATACCCACAGAAAGCTCTCAAGACGAGGAATCCGTGAAGGTCTGGTTTGCATCAATCGGAGTAGTGGAAGGCTTTCAAATCGTCCGAGCAAAACACAACCTCGCGGAATACGTTTTTGTATTCAAAGTAAGTTTGAATCCAAAACCTTCCTCTCTATTGTCTAAACCATATAAATGATTGAAGAACTATTATACACTGATTGAAGTGTATAAAATGTTATTATAAAGTGACTTTAATTGTTGGAAAAGTTAGATACTAATCTAGACAAAACCTTGAAAGGTTAGGGAACGATTTCGTCGGGAAACACCCGTTCTAGGGACTGTTTTTGTGTCTTCGGTTAGGAGTTGAACTAGCACTTTGAAGAGGCTGTTTAACACTCAATTCCAAGCAAGGAATCAGTCCTCAATCTTTCTTGGCCGAGGCTTTGGTCATTGGATCGAGAAGGAAAGTTTTAAAGCTCAATTGAGGTGAGGATGACCGACTATATTGCTTATAATCTTTGGGTTAATTTCATAAGATTACCTAAAGTAATTAAATGTGATTTTCATGGATTATTAATGATTAATAATGCCTAAATGAAAATATTGATGTTTATGAGTTGAAGATGCATAATATACAAATTTATGAGTAAATGATGTATAGTTATGCATTATAAGTATAACGATGTGATGATAGTATAAACCATGACTTTTTGTGATAAAATATACTTTTACTTCATGTATAGAAATCATGAATGGATAAAAGTGATATTTTTGGTATTGAGATTAATCATATACGGATTGGGGAATTTAAAGGAATGAACCCTATAACTACGGATTAGAGAGCTTGGTGGCTTAATGATGAATGGGCTAGTATTGAAATTACTAGTTGGAAAATGTTAGTATGGAAAAGTGATAGAACAAATCCTAAGGGCTTGGATTGCGAAAGATGCACCTTAAGCAGTCTTATGAGATGTCTTAAGGTAGGAATGGGCAACCGCTAAATTACATTAGGAGTAGGCCTCATAGGCTACTCAAGATAGAGAAACCCTAAGCATAGAATTTGCTTAGTGAGTTAGGATCGTGACTAGAGGAAGCCTCTAGCACGATGAAGAATGACTGGAGGAAGCCTCCAGCATTCGTGTTGGACGACTAGAGGAAGCCTCTAGCGTAGTGTAGGATGACTAGAGGAAGCCTCTAGCATAATGTAATGTGACTGGAGGAAGCCTCCAGCACAAAGTATGTAAGGTGATTAGAGGAAGCCTCTAACACCGAATTTAGTGACTAGAGGAAGCCTCTAGCACGACAAAAACATGACTAGAGGAAGCCTCTAGCATAATGTAATGTGACTGGAGGAAGCCTCCAGCACAAAGTATGTAAGGTGATTAGAGGAAGCCTCTAACACCGAATTTAGTGACTAGAGGAAGCCTCTAGCACGACAAAACATGACTAGAGGAAGCCTCTAGCATGGTGAACTAATATTGATGGGCGTGGCTCGAAGTCACGGGGAAAGGGTTGAACGTTTTCAAGGAAAACATAGGTCTTCGGGCCGACTACTTGACTTTATATATATAAAGTAAGTATACTTTCAAAGAGGGTAACCACGGGTTATGACCTATAATATAATAACATCCTAGATTGAGGGTCTTGGAAATTGAAACTTTGATTATACTTAGTATAGTTGTCATTGTACTTGTCAAATGCTTCCAAGTACTGACCTCCCCTTCACGGGGGAGGCCACCTCACAGTTTCAGGTAGAACTTGAAGGTTGCTACCACCGCCCGTTGCTTCGGGAAGATCAAAGGAGGGAGACGTGGTCCGTGCTTCTTCCGTTCCTGTTTTGAAAACATTTTAAATAATGCTCATGGATATTATTTTTTAAATATTTATTTGGGGGCTTGTATGCCCATGTTTGCCAAGGTGTGGCATGAACACTTGTATTGAATGTTTCCGCTGCTTTAAATGAATATTTTACATTATGTTTGTTTATGGATGTACTATGTGTGAACGATATTCCAGACGCCTTGTATAGTATGGATGTGTTGGACTGCGGTTGACTATTCGTACTGTACGGCGGGTTGTTGACGTGTCCGGTTAGGTCCGGGGCGTGACAATTTAATTGGTATCAGAGCCTTAGTCCGTAAACTTCATAATGAAGCTTCAAAATCTCTTTTTGAAAAACGAATTTGAAAACCATGAGCATAAAAGTTTTGTACTTATAGAACTTTTGGTACTTGAGTTGCAAAGTCTCTAATTGTTAAGATGGTACCCTTAACAATTGGTATGACGGTGATTTGAGCCGAAAGGTGTCTTTAAGTACCTATCCGTCACTTGACACTTGATACGAGCCTAATGGCTCATTCTAAACTTCTTTCAGAAATGGAACGCACCGGTAGAGTGACTCGACGGAACCCGACTGGCCAGGTGCTGGGAGGATCCCAACGTGGCAGTCAGGGGGGATCAAGAGAGTCTGGGGGACAGGGCCGAGCAAGCCACTCGCTGACCCTGAGTGACGGTCACGTGGAAACAATAGATGAGCACTATGAGTCCGAGGAGGATTCAACTTACCAACCGGGAACTGAGCCGGTTGACACCCCATATGATGGGGAACACGATGATGCTAGTGATGAGAGTGATGATAATGACGCTCTTGAACGGATTGAGGAATTGCTCCGGCAATACCAACAAGATCGCCAAAGGCGCCGGGCAAGGCGTGCTTTGGAAGGGGCTTCGAGGAGAGGAAGCCGCGCGACTCCTAGGGAGAGCATTGAACTCCGAGGAGGTCGAGGTGCCGAGGTTCCTATCATAAGGATCTCAAAGTACCTAAAGGAGGCAAGAGACTTGGGATGTAAACCGTTTGATGGAACGGGAGACATCTCCGTGGCAGCCGAGTGGATCAAGAGATTCAATGAAGCGGCCCTTGATATGCAGCTGCCACCCCCATATGAAGATGAGAGTGGCAACAAGATTGCTAGAAGGAATGGCGTCCACGTGGTGGGACGGTGTCAAAGGGAAGTACGGTGAGGCGGTCACTTGGGAGAACTTCAGGCAAGAATTCTTTAGCCAATACTACTCCGACTTCGAGGTGAACTTGAAGAGGAGGGAGTACACGAATTTGACCCAAGGAGGGGAATGCACGGTGAAGGAACTTGAACACAAGTTCAGAAAGCTTGCTGAGTTCATACCGGAGTACATTTGTGATGAAAATCGGATGGTGAACCATTTCTGGGATGCCTTGGACCTTGACATACGTGAGAGGGCAACACAATTGCCTAATATGACATTTAGTCAAGTGGTGGAACAAGGTTTAAAGGGAGAGAAGGAGTGGGAAGAGAGGAAGCGAAGAAATGCCGAGGAGGCAAAGAAAAGAAAATGGGAGAACCATGGCCCCCAAGGTTCAAACAAGAAGATGAATCACGGGGGAGGAGGATCCTTCAGGGCACCCGCACCACCATCAAGGGGGAATCCCAACATGGGTGGGCAAAACTCGGGGTTACAAGCCTCGACGAAGCCTAAGTGCAGGAATTGCAAGAGAAATCACGAGGGCAAATGTCGTGATCCCCCACGGTGCTACCAATGCGGAGATACGGGGCACATAAGGCCTAATTGCCCTCAACTTGGTGGGAACCGGTCATCAGGACCAAACGTGGCAACCACGGTGAGTAGAAACCGGGGTGGGGCACCCAATGCAAGCACGAACCACGGCGGGGCAAGTACAAGCAACGCACCCTCCGTGAACCAAGGAAGGACTCAAGCGAGAGTGTACGCAATGACCGAGGCCGATGCTCGGGCTAATCCCGACTCCGTCGCAGGTAATACACTTATTCTGGTCATTTCTAGGCTTACTTTGATCATATACGTCGTTGGGATTGAGTACGGGCCACCCCGGGGTCAAACCGGGTGAGTTAGGCCAAATCGGGCTGGAAACAGCCACTGCTGGCCAGGCACGCCCGCAGACACGCCGTGCCTGGCATCGTGCCTGGAAGGCAGTGGCACCCGAAGAAAAGAAGAAAAAAAAAAAAAAAAAAAATTTGGGCCAGGCACGGCCGCAGGCACGCCGTGCCTGGCGTCGTGCCTGGAAGGCAGTGGCGCCCCGAAGAAATTTTGGCCAGGCACGGCCGCAGGCACGCCGTGCCTGGCACCGTGCCTGGGAGGCAGTGGCTGGCAGGGAGACTCCTGTGCACGCACGGCCGTGCGTGCCACCCAGGCACGCCGTGCGTGGACCCCCGGCAACCGAAAACTCATTTTTTCGCTCCGTTCTTCTACGTTTGGACCCCCGATTGATTCCAAACAGTAGTATGAACCTAATAACCTCCTAATGATGTGTAAAAACATTAGAAAAGGTATCCCACATGACTATAAATGTAGGAACACTAAAGATTAATGGGAAGCATGCGCGAATCCTTATCGATACCGGAGCGCAACGCTCATTCGTAAGTGAGGCGTTCGCCGAGGGCTCAGAGATACAATCAATACCCATGACGCGAACTTTAGTGGTATCAACACCACTAAGGGCAGACGTTGAAAGAACCAAGTACTATCAGTCTTGTATGGTGGAAATCGGTGGCCAAAACTTGATGTGTGATTTCGTACCGCTGAGTATGATGGAGTTCGATGCAATCCTAGGGATGTGTTGGCTAGAAAAGCATCATGCTAGGGTAGATTGCTACACAAAGGTCTTGGGACTCGAAGGCAATGATGGGGATACCCTACGCTTGAGGGGGACCGAGGCAAATCAAACAGCTGTATCGTATCCGCTGCGAGAGCGAGAAGTATGATGAGAAAGGGATGTCACGCTTATCTAGCATACGTGGTTGACAAGACCAAGGAGGAAACGAACATCGACGATGTGAGGGTGGTTTGTAAGTACCCGGATGTCTTCCCAAAGGACCTGCCGGGGCTTCCACCTGATAGGGAGATTGAATTTGTGATCGAGGTCGAGCCCGACACCAAACCAATCTCCATACCGCCATACCGTAGGGCACCCGCTGAACTTAACGAGTTAAAAACCCAATTGCAAGAGCTTTTGGATAACAGTTTCATCAGACCAAGCCACTCCCCATGGGGAGCACCGGTCCTTTTTGTGAAAAAGAAGGATGGGACACTTCGAATGTGCATTGACTATCGTCAACTGAACAAGGTCACAATCAAAAATAGGTATCCCTTGCCTAGGATTGATGACTTGTTTGATCAACTACGAGGAGCAACCGTGTTTTCAAAGATTGACTTGAGGTCGGGGTACCATCAATTGAAGATTAAGGAGGATGACATACCAAAGAGTGCTTTCCGCACGAGGTATGGGCATTTTGAGTTCCTTGTTATGTCTTTTGGGTTAACAAACGCCCCGGTGGCATTCATGGACTTGATGAACCGAGTATTTCACAAATACTTGGACCGATTCGTGATTGTGTTCATTGATGACATCTTGATCTACTCAAAGAGTGAGGAAGAGCATGAGGAGCACTTGATACTCGTTCTTGAGACACTACGGGAGAAGCAACTCTATGCCAAATTTTTCTAAATGTGAATTTTGGCTTAAGGAGATTGGCTTTCTCGGGCATGTAGTTTCAGGATCGGGAATTGCTGTTGATAATAAGAAGATAGGGGCCATTACCGAATGGGAGAGACCAAAGAACGTCAAGGAAATTCGTGGTTCCCTTGGGTTAGCAGGCTACTACAGGAAGTTCGTGGAGAAACTCTCCGTTTTGGCATCACCATTGACAAAGCTCACTCTTAAAGGAGCTAAGTTTGTATGGGATGACAAATGTGAGAAGGAGTTCATTGAACTAAAGGAGAGGTCGACCGAGGCACCGGTACTTGCATTACCCAAACAGGGTATGGGGTACGATGTCTATAGTGACGCGAGCATCCAAGGGCTTGGATGGGTGTTGATGCAGGAGGGGAGGGTAAATGCCTATGCTTCACGACAGTTGAAGAAGCATGAGGTGAATTACCCTACCCATGATCTAGAGCTGGGAGCAGTGGTGTTTGCACTGAAAATTTGGAGACATTATCTCTACGGAGAGACATGTCACATATATACTGATCATAAGAGCTTGAAGTATGTGTTTACTCAGAAAGAGTTAAAACATGAGACAGTGAGGGTGGATGGAGTTGATAAAGGACTACCATCTAGTTATTGAGTACCATCCAGGTAAGGCAAACGTTGTAGCAGATGCCCTCAGTCGGAAGAGTTGTCTGGGGCATTGTCGACTTGTTTGAGGGCATTGAGGGGAACTACGCTGTGCAACCAATCAAGGTCACCAATAGAAAAGTGAAGAAACTGAGGAGCAAAGAGGCCCCAATGGTTAAAGTACTCTGGAAGAGCGATCAGGTCGAAGGGGAGACATGGGAAACAGAGGCTTTGATGAGGAAGCAGTATGCTTTCCTATTCGAGTAGAGCTGTGAATTTCGGGGACAAAATTCCTGTTAAGGGGGGGTGAACTTGTGACACCGCACCCGAACGTCCTTGAAAACTTGATTTTTAAAATTCAAAGTTTATGTATTGGATTTCTGATTCCCAAACGATTGTAAAACGATTAATGTTTTACGTAATTAATGATCGATTATTGTACTGTTCGAACTCGTATATAAGTATCGGGCCTTATTAATAAGTAAAAGAGCCTAACATTATCTAAATAGTAATACATAACGTTTCAAGACAAGTTGAGGAAGGGCGGGCGGCCCAGATATTATTTTGGGCTCAACCCGCTAGAATAGCAAGTATTCAAGAATGGCGTCGTAGGCCCACTCGGGGGCGACCCACACGGCTTGTAGCCTAATAATATGAATGGAAAATGTCAAAATAAGTGATAGGATGATTTGAGAAGAATACAAATGCCTATAACCCCATCTTTGGCATTATTGAGCTAAATAATGGGAGTAGGGTTTTTCTTCTATAATATTCATCATGTAAATTATTGGGATGCTCATACACATATTGGAGATCAATAATATGATGTAGAGAGTTGACTTGTTCCAAATAAATTAGAATGAGTACAAAGAGACATCTTATGACAAAGAGATCAAAAGTGAGACCCACCCATGTCTAAAAACATCTCATGGAGACCATACCAATTCATTTCACTCCACACAACTTATCCACCCTTATTGAAGGGTCTTGGACACTCCCTTAAGCCCCTCATTCGAACTCCCAAGGATAAGGGAGAAAGAGAGAGCCACACAACCAAGAAAGCAAGAGGAAGGGGAAGCTGCCGCAGGTTCGTTTTCCAGTGCGTAAGGTTACTTGTTTTCTTCATATCTCGAGTTATACACATCCAAATAAGGCGTGCGAGATACCCACAGAAAGCTCTCAAGACGAGGAATCCGTGAAGGTCTGGTTTGCATCAATCGGAGTAGTGGAAGGCTTTCAAATCGTCCGAGCAAAACACAACCTCGCGGAATACGTTTTTGTATTCAAAGTAAGTTTGAATCCAAAACCTTCCTCTCTATTGTCTAAACCATATAAATGATTGAAGAACTATTATACACTGATTGAAGTGTATAAAATGTTATTATAAAGTGACTTTAATTGTTGGAAAAGTTAGATACTAATCTAGACAAAACCTTGAAAGGTTAGGGAACGATTTCGTCGGGAAACACCCGTTCTAGGGACTGTTTTTGTGTCTTCGGTTAGGAGTTGAACTAGCACTTTGAAGAGGCTGTTTAACACTCAATTCCAAGCAAGGAATCAGTCCTCAATCTTTCTTGGCCGAGGCTTTGGTCATTGGATCGAGAAGGAAAGTTTTAAAGCTCAATTGAGGTGAGGATGACCGACTATATTGCTTATAATCTTTGGGTTAATTTCATAAGATTACCTAAAGTAATTAAATGTGATTTTCATGGATTATTAATGATTAATAATGCCTAAATGAAAATATTGATGTTTATGAGTTGAAGATGCATAATATACAAATTTATGAGTAAATGATGTATAGTTATGCATTATAAGTATAACGATGTGATGATAGTATAAACCATGACTTTTTGTGATAAAATATACTTTTACTTCATGTATAGAAATCATGAATGGATAAAAGTGATATTTTTGGTATTGAGATTAATCATATACGGATTGGGGAATTTAAAGGAATGAACCCTATAACTACGGATTAGAGAGCTTGGTGGCTTAATGATGAATGGGCTAGTATTGAAATTACTAGTTGGAAAATGTTAGTATGGAAAAGTGATAGAACAAATCCTAAGGGCTTGGATTGCGAAAGATGCACCTTAAGCAGTCTTATGAGATGTCTTAAGGTAGGAATGGGCAACCGCTAAATTACATTAGGAGTAGGCCTCATAGGCTACTCAAGATAGAGAAACCCTAAGCATAGAATTTGCTTAGTGAGTTAGGATCGTGACTAGAGGAAGCCTCTAGCACGATGAAGAATGACTGGAGGAAGCCTCCAGCATTCGTGTTGGACGACTAGAGGAAGCCTCTAGCGTAGTGTAGGATGACTAGAGGAAGCCTCTAGCATAATGTAATGTGACTGGAGGAAGCCTCCAGCACAAAGTATGTAAGGTGATTAGAGGAAGCCTCTAACACCGAATTTAGTGACTAGAGGAAGCCTCTAGCACGACAAAAACATGACTAGAGGAAGCCTCTAGCATAATGTAATGTGACTGGAGGAAGCCTCCAGCACAAAGTATGTAAGGTGATTAGAGGAAGCCTCTAACACCGAATTTAGTGACTAGAGGAAGCCTCTAGCACGACAAAACATGACTAGAGGAAGCCTCTAGCATGGTGAACTAATATTGATGGGCGTGGCTCGAAGTCACGGGGAAAGGGTTGAACGTTTTCAAGGAAAACATAGGTCTTCGGGCCGACTACTTGACTTTATATATATAAAGTAAGTATACTTTCAAAGAGGGTAACCACGGGTTATGACCTATAATATAATAACATCCTAGATTGAGGGTCTTGGAAATTGAAACTTTGATTATACTTAGTATAGTTGTCATTGTACTTGTCAAATGCTTCCAAGTACTGACCTCCCCTTCACGGGGGAGGCCACCTCACAGTTTCAGGTAGAACTTGAAGGTTGCTACCACCGCCCGTTGCTTCGGGAAGATCAAAGGAGGGAGACGTGGTCCGTGCTTCTTCCGTTCCTGTTTTGAAAACATTTTAAATAATGCTCATGGATATTATTTTTTAAATATTTATTTGGGGGCTTGTATGCCCATGTTTGCCAAGGTGTGGCATGAACACTTGTATTGAATGTTTCCGCTGCTTTAAATGAATATTTTACATTATGTTTGTTTATGGATGTACTATGTGTGAACGATATTCCAGACGCCTTGTATAGTATGGATGTGTTGGACTGCGGTTGACTATTCGTACTGTACGGCGGGTTGTTGACGTGTCCGGTTAGGTCCGGGGCGTGACACCCCCCCCCCCCCCCGGAACAATCGGCCCCAAACAGTCCCTGTCCATCTGAACAAAATAATTACCCAAGGAAACACACACCATGATCACCTCAATCCATTTCGGATCAAAGTTCATTCGTAGCATGACCTGTCTCAAAAAATTCCAGCTCACTCTATCGTAGGCCTTGCTCATGTCGAGTTTCAAAGCCACAACCCCCTCCTTTCCCTTCTGTTTCCTTTTCAAAAAATGTTGTGTTTCAAAAGCAACAACAATATTATCAACAATAGATCTGCCCGGAATAAATGCACTCTAACTATCCCCTATAAGAGAACCCAGGATGCCCTTCATTCAATTGGTCAGAACTTTTGAGAAGATTTTGTAAACAACATTACACAGGGCAATCTGCCTCCAATCTCCCAACACTTCTGGCTTATCCTTCTTAGGAATTAAAACAATATTTGTCAGATTTAATTCCGTAGGGATAACCCCTGTCTCAAACAGTGTTTCACACAGATGGACCACCTCCGGTCCCACAACCTCCCAATATTTCTGGAAAAAAAAAGCTGGGTTCATACCATCCTTACCTGGAGCTTTATCAGGATGCATCCCAAAAATAGCATTTTTAACCTCATGCGCAGTGATAGGCCGAACCAACTTAAAGTGTCCCAGGTCCTCAAAGTTTCATGTCTCCCCTGGGTTTGTAAAGAGCGTGTTGAAGTATTCCTCAACGAGGACTGCCACTCCCCCCCCTATCCGTAATCCAGACCCCTCCTTCAGACCGAAGTCCCACCAATTTATTCTTCCTTCTTATGGCTTTCACTGCATTATGAAAGAATTTTGAATTAACATCCCCTTCCTTTAACCAAAACTCTTTCGCCCTTTGCTTCCAGTACATCTTTTCTTTTTCCAAAAGATCCACAATAATATGTTTTACCCAAACAAACTCCCCCAATCTATGAGGATCCTCTCTCCCTCGCAGATAGATCAAACGTTTTTTGTGTGCTATGATCTGGTGCCAAAAACCCTTTGTCCTGTGTTTATCCCACCGTAGTAACTCCTCCCCACAAAATTTCAATCTATCACACACTGACATACCTTCTCCTGCTCGCCAAGATTTAGTAACTATAGTAATTGTATGTCACGCCCCGGACCTACCCGGACACGTCAACAACCCGCCGTACAATACGAATAGTCAACCGCAGTCCAACACATTCATATTATACAAGGCGTCATGAATATCATTCACACGTATAACATCCATAAACAAACATAATAAGTAATTCATAACGCAGCGGAAAACATTGTTTAGAACAAAAAGGCCACACCGGGCTATTAATGAGCACGCAGGCTCTATAGTAAAATATCCATGAGCAAATTTATTAATGTTTCAAATAGAATGGAGGAAGCACGAACCAAGTCTTCTCTCCGAGGAATCACTCGATCAACGAGCACAAGATTGCAAGCTCTAGCCTCAACCTGAAATGGTGGTGGGACGCCCCCGAAGGCAGGGGCGGAACCAGGGGTGGGCGAGCCGGTGCCGGCGCCACCCCTTCGCCGGAATTTTTTTAGTACTAGTAATAGGTATACTGATTGCCGCCCCTCTTCATCTTCTTCGTTGAGACTGACGCCCGTGGGAGATGCTACGAACCAGAGTTTGGGGAAGGAGCGGACAGGCAGACAGCCTGTTTTTTTCTTAATAATTAAATGATCCAAACGACGTCGTTTGGATTAGTGCACAGAGAAAACAAAACGACGTCGTTGTGACCATAACTATGACATACGCTTTGACCGTCTTTCCGTAATTCCTTGTGCGGCTGTGCCTGTTCGTCGTTCCAGTCCAGAAGCCTTCCTTTGCCACGCCAGTCGCCGACCAGCCGTTAGACTCCGGAATCGCCGTCGCAGGCTCACCCTCGCCAGTCCCTTCCTGTCTGCCCCTGCGTCACGAACTCCAACTCAGAAAGCGAAGCGGAACTCCAACTCAGTTGCATAGTTTGGCCGTTTGGATAAGTCCGTAACTATGGCAATTAATTTTAAAATTGTAATCCGTATTAATTACTTTATTTGCTTTTTTAGTTTAATTAATTATTTACTTTAAAACTGGATTGAATAAATGGTTTAAGGTTTACATTTGATTAATTGGTTTAATTGATCTAAAGTGTAATTGATTATTAATGAGTTTTTTACACAAATATTACTAGAGTAAAACTTACGGAGTATAATTTACATAAATATGGTCATTCAGTTACTACAATGTAGTGTCATAATAACTCAGGTTTAAAAGTTGAACATAAATTACTATAATTTCATTACTACTATAGTTACTAATTACATTTTTGTAAACAGTCGTTATTTTAGTCATAAATATGTAATTTTTTCTTGTTTAATTGCTTGAATTGGTATAACCGTATAAAGTAACGACTGTCACTGGACTAAAGGCTAAAATTAAAAAAAAAAAGTATAACCGTATAAAGTTTAAATTGATTGTGCAATTTTTTGATTAATTAGTTTCATTGCTTTAGTTGTTTCAAATTTTAATTGATTATAACTATGGAGTACTTAAGAATTTGAAATTGAAAACCTTTTTAACTTGTTAGGTTACTCATGTGATCATGTCTATCTTATAATATGTAACATCAAGCGTTGGGCCTTCTAGACGAGATAACGAAGAAAGTAGTAGAGAAAAACATCATTTTGGCTTTCTTCTAACATTTAATTGTAATGTAATGTACTATTCTCATAAATTTTATATTCTGTAAACTTTAATAACAATTTATATTTTTGCATTTTATCTTACTTTTAGCCACCCCTTCATTTTCGTTCTGGTTCCGCCACTGCCCGAAGGGGTCAGTACTCTATACGGCTATAAAGTACTGGTGTGGCAGGCATCTAATAGATATACAACAAGTATTTCAAACACAAGACCCTCAAATAGGGTGATAGTACATTATGATTTGTAACCCTAAGTTACCCCGTTTGAAAATATACTTACTTTATGTAAAAGTCAAGTAGTCGGCCCGTGGGCCCATGTTCGTTTAGAAATCACCGTTCCCATTCCCCGTGACTATAAGCCACGACAACTCATAGAGTCCAACCCTAACACATGACATTGTGTTCTAGAGCTCGGCTCTACCACATCACCATACAATTCATGTCACTCGGGTCAATTTCCTTACCTTGCGTTCTAGAGCTCGGCTCTATCACATCACCACGCAAGCCTTAGAGCTCGGCTCTAGCTATTCAATACATAGACTACAAGTCTACCACCTTACCATGCATCCTAGAGCTCGGCTCTATCACATCACCATGCATGAAGGTCCAATTCTTAAGCAACCCTATGCCTAGAATTGACATATCAATAAACTACCATGGGTCATCCTTAAAGACTTCCCACCACTTAACCTTAGTTTCATACTAAGTCATCGTATACACTTGAAGTATATTCAAGTGCATTTCATACAATCCAATCCCTAGGATCAATTCCATCAACAATTTCCAATAATCACTAACTAGTATTTCAATACTATTAAGATTATTGTTATCATACATATATGCTCATTATTTGTAATCCTCTACATATTTATAATTATGTAGCAGCAACTTAAGTGTTCAATCTCAATACATAAACATTCATTTATGTATCCACATAATTCATACATGAGTAAAATGCCTATTTCACAAAATAGTTCATTCATAACTCATTTAATCTCATTTTATTCATACATTCTCAAATCATTTCCAATTTCATTCTTTGGCAACTATATCCATATTTCATCATTATATAATCATCATAATCCATAAAAATTATGATTTTGGCATTTAGGTAATCTCATGCTTAACCTACAAGTTGTAAGCAATTAGATGTCAATCCTCACCCCAAATGAGCTTTAAAACTTTCCTTCTCGATCCAATGACCAAAGCCTCTGCCAAGGAAGCTTGAGAACTGATTCCTTGCTTATAAATGAGTGTTAAACAGACTCTTCAAAGTGCTAGTTCAACCCCTAATCGTCGATACAAAAACAGCCCCTAGAATGGGTGTTTTCCGGTTAACTCGTTTCCTAGTTTTCCAAGATTTGCTCTAGGTTAGTATCTAACCTTTACATCAATAAAATAACTTTATAAGGACATATTATACACTTGGATTAGTGTACAATAGTTCCACCAATCGTTCATATCATTTGGAAAATGAAAGGAAAGGTTTTGGGGTTAACAACTCACTTTTAGAAGTGTAGATCCGTTTCTGCGAGGTTGCGTTTTGCTCGGACGATTTGGAAGCCTTCCACTACTCCGATTGATGCAAACCAGACCTTCACGGATTCCTCGTCTTGAGATATTTCTTCTGGTATCTTACTCGCCTTGATTGGATTGGTATAACTCGAGATATCAACCAAACAGCTTCAGCACTCTCACTGCTCGAGTTTACAGACAGCAATTCACTCCAGCTCGGTTTTTGTGGGATAAACTCTCCCTTCTCGAACAGATACCACTCAAATAAGGAACTAGACTTCAAAGGCTATCCAAGGACACCTCATTCACCTTATTTGGTCGAGTATAACATCACTCATGGAGGGAGATAACCAGCACCATCCTTTTGTGCGAAAATAGACTAGGTGGGGTTCCCTCTTGATTCCTTTGTCAATTCCAGCCCCTAAAGTCAGATATGGCAGCCTCCTAACATTATTTTTCTTGTCTTGCAGGTGGAAGGAAAGGATGGGGCGCAACATGTTGTTCCCCAATTATTTTGGGAGCAAAATATTAACTAATACATCCAAAAATGGAAGAATGGGTCCTATTGTTTAATCTTTTGTCAAAAGATGTCTTTTTGTACTCATCCTAATTTATTTAGAACAAGTTAACTTCCTACATCATATCATTGATTCCCAATATGTGTAGGATCATCCCAATAATTCATGTGATGAATATTATAGAAGAAAAACCCTACTCCCATTATTTAGCTCCATAATGCCAAAGATGGGGCTATAGGCATTTGTATTCTTCTCTAACCATTCTATCACCTATTTTGACATTTGTCATACATATTACTGGGATACTAGCCGTGTGGGTCACTCCCGAGTGGGTCTAGGACGCCATTCTCGAATACTTGCTATTTTTAGCAGGTTGGGCCCGAAATAATGTTTGGGCCGCCCGTCCTTCCTCAATTTGTCTTGAAAGGTTATATATCTTTATTTGGGAAATGTTGGGCTCTTATATCCATTAATAAGGACCGAATAAGTATTTGCAAAACCCGACACTAATATTCGAGTTTGAACAGTACGATATTCAATCATGCACTACGTAAACATTAATCGTTTTACAATTGCTCGGAAATTCAATACATAAGCTTGAAATTTAATTTGAATTTTCAAGGACGTTCGGGTGCGGTGTCACAAGTTCACCCCCCCTTAACAGGAATTTCGTCCCCGAAATTCACAACTCCACTCGAATAGAAAAGCATACTGCTTCCTCATCAAAGCCTTTGTTTCCCAGGTCTCTTCTTCGACCCGATCGCTCTTCCAAAGGACTTTAACCATTGGGACTTCTTTACTCCTCAGTTTCTTCACCTTTCTATCGGTGACCTTGATTGGTTGCACAACGTAGTTCAAATCCTCACGTACTTCTACAGGCGGCTTTTCCAATACGTGAGAGGGATCACGCACATACTTCTTAAGCATGGATACATGAAACACATTATGTATCTTCTCTAACTCAGGAGTCAACTGTAGACGATATGCAACAGCCCCAATCCTCTCTATAATTCTGAACGGACCTATGTATTGTGGGTTAAGCTTCCCTCGGGTTTGGAATCGAATGATTCCTTTCTAAGGAGAAACTTTATAGAATACCTCGTCACCAACCTTAAACTCTAAGGTTCGTCGACGTTTATCTGCATAACTCTTTTGTCTATCCTGAGCCGCTTTGAGTCTCTCTCGAATCAACTTCACCTTTGACTTGGTGATCTCAACCAACTCAGTACCCTCGAGTTTGGCCATGCCAACCTCATCCCAGCATAACGGTGTACGGCACCTCCTCCCATATAATGCCTCGTATGGAGGCATGCCGATGCTTGCCTGATAACTGTTGTTATAGGCAAACTCCACCAGTGCTAAGTGGTTGTCCCAACTTCCTTGGAACTCCAATGCACAAGCCCTCAGCATGTCTTCTAAGATCTGTATGACTCTTTCAGACTGCCCATCCGTCTGTGGGTGGAAAGCAGTACTGAACTTCAACTTCGTTCCCATAGACTCCTGAAATTTTGGCCAAAAACGTGATGTGAATCGTGGGTCTCTATCGGATACAATGGTCACTGGGACCCCATGCAGCCTCACGATCTCATCCGTATACAATTTGGCTAACCTCTCAAGTGGGTAAGTAGTGTTGATAGGTAAGAAGTGTGCACTCTTCGTGAGCCTATCTACGACAACCCAAACTGCATCATAGTTCCTGATTGTCCGTGGTAGACCTACCACGAAATCCATAGTCACGTGTTCCCACTTCCATTCAGGAATGGAAAGTGGTTGCAATAAGCCTGCTGGACAGTGGCGGACCCAGAGATTTGTGAGAGCAGGGGCACACTAGACAACAAACTTAGTCTATAATAAAAACTTCAAATGTAATAAAACTGGTAAATAAAGTATTAAATTATACGGAATAGTTCATTACATATTAAATAGTTCACGACTGCAACTTTGGTAAATCAAGCCTACGAGTTTTCATATTCTGAAAGTGTTGCATAATAGTTTCATTATCAATGCTTCTAAAAACATCACTATCTATGTAGCACACCAAACAATCCGTAAGATAGTCATCTCCCATCTTATTGCGAAGATCTGTCTTGATAATATTCATCGCAGAGAAGGCCCTTTCAACGGTGGCTGTTGCAACTGGTAATACTAAAGTCAACTCAATCAGACGATATATCAAGTGAAAAGAATTGTGAACTTTAAGCTCAACCATCTTCTTACAAACTTCACCAATAGTTTGTATGTCAGAAAATAATTCATTTGTTCTCATTTCATATATCCACACTTGGAGTTGCTCTTTCACCTCCATTCGGTCAACAGATGAAAAATCGCATGAATATAACTCTGCAAGGTTCAGTAGCTTTGACTCACAGAAATTGGAGAACTTATCTCTAGGATCAAGACATGCTAAGCAACTGAGTAATTCTGTGTTTGACTCACTAAAGCGATTCTCCATCTCAAGACTGATCTGGTCAATAACCTACAATGAAAACAATAGTAACAATAATAATTAAAACAAAAATAAGTATAATAATAATAATAATAATAATAATAATAATTGTTATTATATTTTAAAGTACCTGGCAAAATATATCAACACGAAAGTGGTGATAATTTGTTACCGGGTGACGAACACGTCTAGAACGATGATTCGTCTCTTCCATGTTAAGAATGTCAATTTTGTTCTTGACACAAAAGCTACTGACATCTTCCAAGAGACCATCCCATCCACTTTCTCTCAAGTCTTGAAATTTAGCTTTAGTGCTTTTAACTAAGCTCACAGCCTCCAGAATATTTTGATCTTTTTGTTGCAAGAAATGTGACAATATATTCGTCAATCCCAATATTTTTTTCATCAACTGAGCAATAAAAACAAACTGATAACTCTCCATCTTATCTACCAAGCTACTAGCAGAGCCTCTCGATTTTAGATCAGTTCCATCATCAAATATATTGTCCAAAACTTGAATAGTAGGAGACCACATAGAAAGAATACGGATAATGGTTGTATGATGTGAACCCCAGCGTGTAGCTCCCGGCCTAGCTAAACTACTTTCTTGATTCAATCCTCTCCCAGTTGTAAGCTCACCCTTTTCTAACATCTCTACCATGGCTTCATGTTGCTTTTGCCGAAACTCATCCTTTCTTTTACAAGAAGATCCTACCATGTTAGTAATCATGGACAAATATTCAAAAAAGTCACTCACAAACTTATTGCTTTGTGCAACAGCCACAACAACTAATTGCAATTGGTGAGCAAAACAATGAATATATCTTGCATGTGGATTTTCATTCAAAATAAGAGTCTTCAATCCACTAAGTTCACCTCGCATATTAGAAGCTCCATCATATCCTTGACCTCTAATTTTGGACAAAGATAATCCATGCTTAGCAAAAAATTCATCAATGTCGCTTTTCAATGAAAGTGCAGTAGTGTCAACAACATGTTTAACTCCAAGGAATCGCTCTATAACAACTCCGTTATCATTTACATATCTCACAACAATTGCCATTTGCTCTTTCACAGAATTATCACGAGCTTCATCAATCAACAGAGAAAAGAATTTGTCACCAATATCACTAATTATGACTTTTAATGTCTCTGATGCACAAGAACTAATAATATCCTTTTGAATCTTAGGACAAGTAAGTTGGTGATTTGATGGTGCATTATCTTTCACAACCTTTGAAACTTCAACATTGCGTGCACTATACCAATCAAGTAATTCCAAGAAATTACCTTTATTCAATGAAGTTTCTCTCTCATCATGTCCACGAAAAGCCAACCCTTGTGCAATTAAAAATCTAGCACAATCCACACTTGCATTCAAACGGGTGCGGTATGCTGCACCCAATGTTTGTATTCCTGAAGCCACACATCTTGGAAGGCTTTGCTTTTGATTCCTGAAAGCAAAAAATTTTATTCTAGCATTATTGTGGGCACTTTTTACAATTCCTACATGATCTCGAAAACTTGCGAGACTTTTCTTCCAATTACGAAATCCGGTCCTCACAAATACATCATCTCCAAATCTCCTCCCTTCTACCTCATGGAAAAGGTAACACCAAAAGCAAAATGCAGCATCTTTAGAAACACTATACTCTAACCATTCCCAATTTTTATACCACTCTGCTCGAAAACTTCTCATTTTTTTCCCAAATAAAGTTTTTGGAAACTTATGAGACAACGGTTGACAAGCACCTTTAACAACATATGCTCTCATCACATCATCTCTTACTCGAGGCTCATATTCATTGATTGGCTTTCGTAATCCAGGATCGCTAATGATATCCCACTCACACGTACTATCTGTGCGGGCTCTTTTGTCTCCCCTAATGTCATTAGATTCATCTCGAACAGTTCTTACATTCGAAGCAACAACAATTGCATTACTTGAGATAGACTGATTAGGGACATTCGAAGAACTATCTCCTGGAGTTAAAGACCTCTTACTCCGAATTACAAACTTATCCAAACTCATTTTCCTAACAAAAAAGACAAATACAATGAAATCTAATTAAATCAATTTCTACATCCTAATTATTTCACTAAATTAAAAGAAAAAAATCCTTACAAATTAGAACCCTAATCCGTAATTAGAGTGCAATCACAAATTCAAACTATCAACTTTCAAGTAAACAAACAAATGAACAATCCTCAATATTCTTGATTATTGACAATCTCAATTTTTAAAGTAATCCCCCGCGGCAACTCGTCACTCTGCAAATCTGCAATTGACAGAAATCGGGTGTCGGAGATGCGGAATAAATTTGAAGTAAACTTACAGATCCAGGAAATATGGGAAGATTTAGTGGTGCGGCGGTGGCGCGGTGCAGTGTCAATTGAGCAAGACGTCAAAACCCCAAAGCCAAAGCAGCGATCCAGAGAACTTCCGCTATTTTCATTCTACTCTTTGTGGGTTTTGTTTTTAGATTTTTAATTGTTTTGCTTACCCGCACGTTTGGCTACTTTTTGTGCACTTTTAACTTTTTTGTGTTACTTTTTTGTTTTCAACCCTTCAGTATTCTTTTTTTGTATTTTGATAATTTATATCTTTTATTTTATTACAGCTAAAATTTTAATATTTTGTACTCTGTATTAATTTTTTATTATTGATATAACTGTAACATTTTAGCATCTTAATTATCAAATATCGGTATGAAGCGGAGGCACTAGTTTTACATCAAGTGGTACTAGTGAAATTTCGGGTCCAAAGCGGGGGCACTGGTTTTTACCTTAAGTACTACTAGTGAAATTCCGGGCCCGAAGCTGGGGCACTTGCCCCACCTAGCCCCCCCCTAGGTCCTCCACTGCTGCTGGATGCTGATGTTCCGCCTTGACTTGTTGACAAGTAAGGCATCGACTGATGTATTCAGCTATTTCTCTCTTCATTCCAGACCACCAGTAACTTTCTTTCAGATCTCGGTACATTTTCGTGCCCCCTGGGTGCATGGCATAAGCCGATGAATGAGCCTCCTCTAAGATGGACTTACGGAGCTCATCATCTGACGGTACACACACTCGGTCACAAAATAACAAGAGACCATCATCTCTTTCCCTGAAATCCTCCACTGGTCCCGCTTGCATGCGTTCCCGAACCTTCATAAGTTCTGCGTCAGTCTCTTGACCCTTCTTGATCTCATCAAGTAAGGTCGGTCTCACCTCAAATCGTGCCAATAAGGCACCATCGCTAGATACATCCAATTGGGCCCTCAGTGCCCTCAAACTAGTCAGCAGTGCCCCAGACGAACTCTTCCGACTGAGGGCATCTGCTACAACGTTTGCCTTACCAGGATGGTACTCAATAACTAGATGGTAGTCCTTTATCAACTCCATCCACCGTCTCTGTCTCATGTTTAACTCTTTCTGAGTAAACACGTATTTCAAGCTCTTATGATTAGTATATATGTGACATGTCTCTCCGTAGAGATAATGCCTCCAAATCTTTAGTGCGAACACCACTGCTCCCAACTCTAGATCATGGGTAGGGTAATTTACCTCATGCTTCTTCAACTGTCGTGAAGCATAGGCAATTACCCTCCCCTCCTGCATCAACACACATCCAAACCCTTGGATGCTCGCGTCACTATAGACATCGTACCCCATACCCTGTTTGGGTAAGGCAAGTACCGGTGCCTCGGTCAATCTCTTCTTTAGTTCAATGAACCCTTCCTCACATTTGTCATCCCATACAAACTTAGCTCATTTACGAGTGAGCTTTGTCAATGGTGATGCCAAAACGGAGAACTTCTCCACGAACTTCCTGTAGTAGCCTGCCAACCCAAGGAAACTACGAATTTCCTTGACGTTCTTTGGCCTCTCCCATTCGGTAATGGCTTCTATCTTCTTGTCATCAACAGCAATTCCCGATCCCGAAACCACATGCCCGAGAAAGCCAATTTCCTTTAGCCAAAATTCACGTTTAGAAAATTTGGCATAGAGTTGCTTCTCCCGTAGTGTCTCAAGGACAAGTATCAAGTGCTCCTCATGTTCTTCTTCACTCTTTGAGTAAATCAAGATGTCATCTATGAACACAATCACGAATCGGTCCAAGTATTTATGAAATACTCGGTTCATCAAGTCCATGAATGCCGCTGGGGCGTTTGTTAACCCAAACGACATAACAAGGAATTCAAAGTGCCCATACCTTGTGCGAAAAGCACTTTTTGGTATGTCATCTTCCTTAATCTTTAATTGATGGTAACCCGACCTCAAGTCAATCTTTGAAAACACGGTTGCCCCTCGTAGTTGATCAAACAAGTCATCAATCCTAGGCAAGGGATACCTATTCTTGATTGTGACCTTGTTCAGTTGATGATAGTCAATACACATTTGAAGTGTCCCATCTTTCTTCTTCACAAAAAGAACTGGTGCTCCCCACGGGGAGTGGCTTGGTCTAATGAAACCATTATCCAAAAGCTCTTGCAATTGGGTTTTCAACTCGTTAAGTTCAGCGGGTGCCATACGGTATGGCGGTATGGAGATTGGTTTGGTACCAGGCTCGACCTCGATCACAAACTCAATCTCCCTATCAGGTGGAAGCCCCGGTAGGTCTTTAGGGAAGACATCTGGATACTTACAAACCACCCTCACGTCGTCGATGTTCGTTTCCTCCTTGGTTTTGTCAACCACGTATGCTAGATATGCGTGGCACCCCTTTCTCATCATACTTCTCGCTCTCACGGCGGATATGATACAACTGTTTGATTTGCCTCGATCCCCCTCGAAGCGTAGGGTGTCCCCATCATTGCATTCGAGTTCCAAAACCTTTGTGTAGCAATCTACCCTAGCATGATGCTTTTCTAGCCAATCCATCCCTAGGATTGCATCGAACTCCATCATACTCAGTGGTACGAAATCACACGTCAAGGTTTGGCCATCGATTTCCACCTCACAAGATGGATAGTAACTAGCTCTTTCAATGTCATCCCCTAGTGGTGTTGATACCACTAGAGTTTGCGTCATTGAGATTGATTGTATCCCTAAATCCTCGGCGAACGCCTCACTCACGAATGAACGTTGCGCTCCGGTATTGATAAGGATTCGTGCATCCTTCCCATTAATCTTTAATGTTCCTACATTTATAAGCCATGTAAGACACCATTCCTAACATGTCTAAACTTTATTTAGGGTTAGGGTGCATTTACCGTTCAAACGGGGTGGGTCCCGCTTGGTACGGAAAATTTTTCGGACGAAAGCAGCTTCGGACCGGCGCCGGTTCAGGCCTGACCGGCGACGGTTGTCTGGGTCAAGCGTCCCAGCTGCACCGGTTAAAATGGGCCGGTTCCACACAGGCCGCTTCCAACAAAGGTCCGGCGCCGATTGATGGGTGTCCGGCGCCGGTGGGGTGGTTTCGCAGGCCCGGAGCGCCGGTTATAGAGAGCCGGTCGGACACAGGCTCATCCCAGGGCATGTCTGGCGCCGGTTAGTGAGTGTCCGGCGCCGGTTGGCTGAAAAACACGCAGGTTATGCGCCGGTTGGGGAGGGCCGGTCCGAAATAGGCTGCTCTCCAAGGCATGTCTGGCGCCGGTTAGCCTCGGACCGGCGCCGGTCGGGGCGAGTACTTTGGTTTTTACTTCGTTTTCGTGAGTCGGAATGCCAGGTCTTGCCCCTACGATGGTCGTGCCTTAACCCTTAAATCCTATACACCTTAAATAAAGCTAAAATACCATACTTTAATGAGATAAATACCTGCAACGGAATCCGGGTTCGCTCGAGCATCCGCCTCCGTCATCGGATAGACTCTAGCTTGAGTCCTTCCTTGATTCACGGATGGCGCATTGCTCGTACTTGCTCCCCCGTGTCCCCGGCTTGCTTGAGAAGCCCCGGTTTGATTCCGTGTACCCGTCGGGCCACTACTCGGTCCCGATGTCCTGGTCCCGCCCAATTGTGGGCAATGCGCCTTCAAATGTCCGGCATCCCCGCATTGGAAACATCTAGGGGGGTCGCGACATTTACCGGAGTGGTTCTTCTTGCAATTGTTGCAACGAGTCACCACTGAGGCCTGTGACCTCGAGCCTTGCCCACTTGGGCCTTGGTTCCCCCTAGATGGTGGCGGTGGTGCCCGGAAAGATCCTCCTCCATGGTTCCCCTTTTTGTTGGAACCTTGGGAGCCATGACTCTCCCACTTTCTCTTTTTCGCCTCCTCGGCGTCTCTCTTCTTCCTCTCCTCCCACTGTTTCTCCCCTTTCAACCCTTGGTCGACCACTTGGGCGAACGTCATGTTAGGCAATTGTGTTGCCCTATCACGTATCTCCAAGTCTAGAGCATCCCAGAAGTGATTCACCATCCGGTTCTCATCACAAGCATACTCCGGTATGTAGTCGGCAAGGTCCCTGAACTTGTACTCAAGTTACCTCACCGTCATGTTACCCCCTTGGGTTAGAAGGGTGTATTCCCTCACCTTTTTGTTCACCTCGAAATCCTAGTAGTATTGTGCAAAGAATTCCTGTCGGAAATTCTCCCAAGTGACGGTCTCACCATATTTGCTTTTGGTCCCATCCCACCACTTGGATGCCATACCTTCAAGTAATCTCACCGCAACCCTTACTTTATATTCGGGGGTGAGTTGCATGTCCAGGGCCGCCTCATTCAGCCTCTTAATCCATTGCGCCGAAATGGAGATGTCACCCGTTCCATCGAATGGTTTGCACCCCAAGTCTCGTGCCTCTTTGATGTATTTGGAGATCCTTATGATTGGACCTCCATCACCCCGGCCCCCATGTGGTTCAATGTGGGCCCTAGAGTCTCCATGGCTTCTCCCCCTTGAAGCCCTGCCCGAAGGTTGCCCAGCTCGGCGCCTTCGGCGTTCCCTCCTCTCCTCACGCTCACGGTGATACTGTTGGAGTAGTGCTTTGATCCGTGCTAAGGAGCCATTTTCCTCCTCATCACTTACATCATCATCATCCCCTTCGTAAGGGGTCTCAACCGGTTCTGTTTCCGGTCGATAGGTTGAGTCCTCATAGGACCAGTAGGTTTCACTTTCTGTGTCGACATGACTGTCACTCACGGTCTGTGATCGGCCTCCACGGCCAGCTCCTCTAGATGCCCTAGAGGTCCTTCGACTGCCCTGTCCAGCCTCCACTGGTACACGGCCAGTCGGGTTTCTCCTAGTAATCCTGCCACCACGGTCCATTTCTGAAAGAAATTTGGAAAGAGTCGTTAGACTCGTATCAAATGTCAATTGACGGATAGGTACTTAAGACACATTTTGGCTCGAGTCACCGCCATACCAATTGCTAAGGGTACCATTTTAACAATTAGAGACCTTGCAACCCAAGTACCAAAAGCTCTCCAAGTACAAAACTTCTATGCTCATGGTTTTCAAAATCTTTTCAAAAGAGAATTTTGAGACTTCATTATGAAGTTTATGGACTAAGGCTCTGATACCAACTAAATTGTCACGCCCCGGACCTACCCGGACACGTCAACAACCCGCCGTACAATACGAATAGTCAACCGCAGTCCAACACATTCATATTATACAAGGCGTCATGAATATCATTCACACGTATAACATCCATAAACAAACATAATAAGTAATTCATAACGCAGCGGAAAACATTGTTTAGAACAAAAAGGCCACACCGGGCTATTCATGAGCACGCAGGCTCTATAGTAAAATATCCATGAGCAAATTTATTAATGTTTCAAATAGAATGGAGGGAGCACGAACCAAGTGTTCTCTCCGAGGAATCACTCGATCAACGAGCACAGGATTGCAAGCTCTAGCCTCAACCTGAAATGGTGGTGGGACGCCCCCGAAGGGGTCAGTACTCTATACGACTATAAAGTACTGGTGTGGCAGGCATCTAATAGATATACAACAAGTATTTCAAACACAAGACCCTCAAATAGGGTGATAGTACATTATGATTTGTAACCCTAAGTTACCCCGTTTGAAAATATACTTACTTTATGTAAAAGTCAAGTAGTCGGCCCGTGGGCCCATGTTCGTTTAGAAATCACCGTTCCCATTCCCCGTGACTATAAGCCACGACAACTCATAGAGTCCAACCCTAACACATGACATTGTGTTCTAGAGCTCGGCTCTACCACATCACCATACAATTCATGTCACTCGGGTCAATTTCCTTACCTTGCGTTCTAGAGCTCGGCTCTATCACATCACCACGCAAGCCCTAGAGCTCGGCTCTAGCTATTCAATACATAGACTACAAGTCTACCACCTTACCATGCATCCTAGAGCTCGGCTCTATCACATCACCATGCATGAAGGTCCAATTCTTAAGCAACCCTATGCCTAGAATTGACATATCAATAAACTACCATGGGTCATCCTTAAAGACTTCCCACCACTTAACCTTAGTTTCATACTAAGTCATCGTATACACTTGAAGTATATTCAAGTGCATTTCATACAATCCAATCCCTAGGATCAATTCCATCAACAATTTCCAATAATCACTAACTAGTATTTCAATACTATTAAGATTATTGTTATCATACATATATGCTCATTATTTGTAATCTTCTACATATTTATAATTATGTAGCAGCAACTTAAGTGTTCAATCTCAATACATAAACATTCATTTATGTATCCACATAATTCATACATGAGTAAAATGCCTATTTCACAAAATAGTTCATTCATAACTCATTTAATCTCATTTTATTCATACATTCTCAAATCATTTCCAATTTCATTCTTTGGCAACTATATCCATATTTCATCATTATATAATCATCATACTCCATAAAAATTATGATTTTGGCATTTAGGTAATCTCATGCTTAACCTACAAGTTGTAAGCAATTAGATGCCAATCCTCACCTCAAATGAGCTTTAAAACTTTCCTTCTCGATCCAATGACCAAAGCCTCGGCCAAGGAAGCTTGAGAACTGATTCCTTGCTTATAAATGAGTGTTAAACAGCCTCTTCAAAGTGCTAGTTCAACCCCTAATCGTCGATACAAAAACAGCCCCTAGAATGGGTGTTTTCCGGTTAACTCGTTTCCTAGTTTTCCAAGATTTGCTCTAGGTTAGTATCTAACCTTTACATCAATAAAATAACTTTATAAGGACATATTATACACTTGGATTAGTGTACAATAGTTCCACCAATCGTTCATATCATTTGGAAAATGAAAGGAAAGGTTTTGGGGTTAACAACTCACTTTTAGAAGTGTAGATCCGTTTCTGCGAGGTTGCGTTTTGCTCGGACGATTTGGAAGCCTTCCACTACTCCGATTGATGCAAACCAGACCTTCACGGATTCCTCGTCTTGAGATATTTCTTCTGGTATCTTACTCTCCTTGATTGGATTGGTATAACTCGAGATATTAACCAAACAGCTTCAGCACTCTCACTGCTCGAGTTTACAGACAGCAATTCACTCCAGCTCGGTTTTTGTGGGATAAACTCTCCCTTCTCGAACAGATACCACTCAAATAAGGAACTAGACTTCAAAGGCTATCCAAGGACACCTCATTCACCTTATTTGGTCGAGTATAACATCACTCATGGAGGGAGATAACCAGCACCATCCTTTTGTGCGAAAATAGACTAGGTGGGGTTCCCTCTTGATTCCTTTGTCAATTCCAGCCCCTAAAGTCAGATATGGCAGCCTCCTAACATTATTTTTCTTGTCTTGCAGGTGGAAGGAAAGGATGGGGCGCAACATGTTGTTCCCCAATTATTTTGGGAGCAAAATATTAACTAATACATCCAAAAATGGAAGAATGGGTCCTATTGTTTAATCTTTTGTCAAAAGATGTCTTTTTGTACTCATCCTAATTTATTTAGAACAAGTTAACTTCCTACATCATATCATTGGTTCCCAATATGTGTAGGATCATCCCAATAATTCATGTGATGAATATTATAGAAGAAAAACCCTACTCCCATTATTTAGCTCCATAATGCCAAAGATGGGGCTATAGGCATTTGTATTCTTCTCTAACCATTCTATCACCTATTTTGACATTTGTCATACATATTACTGGGATACTAGCCGTGTGGGTCACTCCCGAGTGGGTCTAGGACGCCATTCTCGAATACTTGCTATTTTTAGCAGGTTGGGCCCGAAATAATGTTTGGGCCGCCCGTCCTTCCTCAATTTGTCTTGAAAGGTTATATATCTTTATTTGGGAAATGTTGGGCTCTTATATCCATTAATAAGGACCGAATAAGTATTTGCAAAACCCGACACTAATATTCGAGTTTGAACAGTACGATATTCAATCATGCACTACGTAAACATTAATCGTTTTACAATTGCTCGGAAATTCAATACATAAGCTTGAAATTTAATTTGAATTTTCAAGGACGTTCGGGTGCGGTGTCACATTGTAGGCTTAATACGAACTAAAAGTGCCATGTGATCACTTGTCGGCGCTTCAACCGAGGAAGCTTTAGCAACCATAAAACTATCCCACCAAAGGTCGTTGACAAGAATCCGGTCCAGTTTTTCCTCAACCCAGAATTCGGTATCCTTTCCTTTTTCCCAAGTCCATTGGTATCCATCAAAGGGGAGATCCCGCAAACCACATGTTAGAATTGCCTCTTGGAAACCACGAATTCTCCATATCGGATGGATGACTCTACCTTTCTTTTCCGAATCATACAGGATATCATTCATATCCCCTATCACCATCCACGGCTCCGACACTCCTTCTGCCAAGTTCCGTAGCATTCTCCAGGCTGCCCTCCATCGAATAGTATCCGGGAAAGCATAATACGCTGTTAGCCTCCATATCAAACTTCCTGTGTGTAATTTAACCCTGCAATTTATGAAGTTTGGATTCTCCTCCATAATATTTACCTCAACCTCCTCACTCCATCCCAGAGCCAAGCCGCCACTTCGACCTTCACTATCGAAACCTGTCGCATAATGATATCCCAACGACCGCAAGATCTCTTTCACCCGTTGACACCGAAGTTTTGTCTCCATTAGGAAGAGTATCGACGGCCTATGTTGATTGACAATGTCCGAAAGCCCCTGCACCGTGGCTGGATCCCCCCAGACCTCTACAGTTCCAGCTAACGATGCTCATGGTTAAAATGTAGAGAGCTCGTACAAAAAGAGACAGAGCCTTCTCCACCCCTCTGCCAAGGAGCCCTTAACCTCTTCCAAGCGAAAGCCCAGACCTCCAAAAACGAACACGCTCGGCGACCACCGTCACCGTTGTACCAGTCCAACTAGGAGAACCCTAGACTCGACCGCAAAGTACTAGGTGAATTGTTATCATATGTTTAAGTTGGAAACGCATATATTTATACTCGCTAATGTGCTATGAAATACAAACTAGTTTTATTTTTTAAATGTTTCTTCCTTTTGTGCTCATTTTTACTTCATTGGAAAGGTAAATTAATGTTCTAAAATTGCTATACGGAATTTATTTATCAAATATTACATGGTGATTACATATTACATTGAAATTCAAAAATTGCATGTTATCTCATTGGAAAGATAAATAGATGTTACAAAGTTCGTATTGAGATCTCATCTACCAAGTATTAAACGATAGACACACATTTTACCATAATTAAAAATCAAGCCTCTTTGATGCACATGAAATGTTTGATTTGATCATATTTTATTTTATTCCGTTTGAGCCGTTTTTTACCTCATTAGCGAGATGAGGTTATGATGTAACACTTGTTTAAGGACATTGTTTGCCAAATATTAAAAGATGTGCGTGTATTACATCGAAGTTAAAAATCACACACTATTTGTGACATAACTCTTGTTTGTACATTGATTAATCATCCGTTAATTAAGAAATGTATTTAGAAGTCTTTGAATTAATAATGTTTGGAATGATTTATAGATTTAATTAATAAAGTGATCAATTAAATTGAGGCTTAGTTGGACCTAAAATTTTGGACTACCTTAAAGATTATTTTAAGCACAAAATAAAGAAATGGAGAATATATACAAGAGTTGGACAAATATTTTAAAGGATGCGACAACTCAAGTAGCAAGTGACCTCCCTTATCTCCTCGAACTCGAGTGAAAGTGATGCAAGGGACACCTTGTTAAACACATCCTACCCTTGTTAATGGATGGGATTTATAGGATCTCCTTAACAAAAACTCCTAGACTTTATGGGAATATGGAGAAGGCTCTCTTCGACTATAATGAGTTTAGTGGATCCTTTAACTCTATACAAATGAGAATGTGCTTAAGATCTTTTTTACCTTACACAACGGATTTTGTTTTGAATGTTAAAGCATCAATTATTCTCCACTCTCAATGAATACAAAAGCACGTGGAACATATCAATGCGTAGAAGAATGTCCATTATACTTAACCAAGTAGCTACAGTACACTTTATGACCATTAATAAGCTTTTTGACCATTCCAAACAACTATTTAGGTGTTTGGTTAATAAGCTTTTTCTATTGGCTTTTTATGTCAACCAGCCAAAAATTAAAACGCCACTAAACTTAGCATTTTGCATTCGTCTGTTTCACTTGATTCTCTAAAAATACAGATTTAGCCTTCAATTGCCATGTTCAATTGTCTAATGAACTGACAAACATACTTCCATAATACATGTATTATACATTAATACATGTTAGATAATCTTTTAATGTATAATACATTAATAAATGTATAAGCAACGACATTCACAAAATGTAGCAATATAAGAATAAAATACATTGCAATCAATATATTCGTTTTTATTGTTATTTTTTGTTTAATGAATAAAAATAATTTAGAATAATATATTAAAATTATATCCAAAACCAATAGAAAACTAGAATAGTTAAATAAACTGAAAACATTTTATTTCCTTTTAATTTGAGGTGACATAAATATTTAAATATATTTTTCATTTTTGTTACATGACTTTTCTTGGTATATTTTTACTTATAACTTCATTTATTAATCGAAGTATCGTCATACGAATTAATTTTATAACTCGTGAAAAATAATTTCTAAAAAAAATATTACGTATGTTAATACATTTTTTTTATTTAGATAATTAAAAATAATAATTGATATTCTTAAAAGTCATTTAAAAAGTCACCTGCTAATTATAAACAATCATTTAACCAAACACTATTTTACAAACTGTTAATCCTATTAGCTAATTAAAACAGCCAACAGAAACTGCTATCATCGATCAACTAATACAACCAGCCAACAACGAACATCCAATTGCCAAACACCCTCGTTTTTTCTTTAAAAAAACATAACTATAGTTCGGTAGTTACAGAGTAGTATCCAAGAAATAAAGGGAAAATGGGCAAATAACCCCTCAAATTCATTTGACTGTCTTCCCGATTTTATTTTTAGCTGAAATTTGGTATAGATAAACTAGACTTAATGGAGAAGATGCTCAAAAAAATTCCACCGAAAACCACCCCAAATGACAACGGGCGAACAGAACTTCCTATATAAAGGGTGATTTGGCCGTTTTTTTAGTTTCAGGGTTATTTGACCTTTTTCTCTTAAATAAATGTTGCTGTTTTTAAAATCAGTGTTCCGGAATTCCTGAAACCCTAGAAACTAAAAAAACAACTGCAGAGCATCAGAACTCCATTCTGCAATTTTGAAAAGCATCGACCAATAAATTTGTTCAGGGCTTTCTCATCGAAAGAAAGACGGAGACAGAATGGTCTGGTTTCAGTGTGAGGACTGCGGAGACAATCTGAAGAAGCCGAAGCTGCCTGGCCACTACAGAGTGTGCTCTGCTTTCAAGGTTTGCACTTTATTTTTCCTTCCCATTTTCTACCTATTCTTCTTCCAAAGTTTCTTTTTGAACAATTTAATTCACCAAATTATTTATTTTAGGCTTCTTTATACTTGAAGCTCATTGGTTTCATGACATCTTCGTTGCGCAGCTATCTTGCATTGATTGTGGTGAAGTGTTTAATCAGCAATCTGTGGAGAGTCACACCCAGTGCATTTCTGAAGCGGTAATTTTTTATTAGCTTTTAGCCATTCTAACATGTGTTCTGTAATGTCCTGACTCCTGACCATACTAACACTCTCATGCCCATTGGAACAGTATTGTAGAAGCCAATGCATTCTTTTACCCCTGCATTAAGTAACAATTTGATTGAGTAGCATTATCATAAGAATTATTTATTTATTAACTGGTTAGTTTTGAGTGCCAATCATAGTTTCCCATCAGTTATACCATACCATTTGTCTTTGTATTGCATTCGTTGTGTGGTTCTAGTATATAAGCCTTGTTGTTGCTGAAGATGCTGGGCTAAGATTCTTGATCCATTTGATTACTGACATTGTTTTCATGTACTCGATTTTGAAGACTCCGAGTTGGCCCTGACATCTTTAGTCTCAAGAGGTTGTAGAATTTCTTATTTAATCATTTCATTAGCGCTAATGCATCTACACGATTTGGATTGGTTTTCTATGACAAATTTTCAGGAAAAGTATGGCCCAAAGGGTCAAGCTAAAACTCCAGTAGGAAGAAATTCTAATCCCAACAGTGACACGAAAAAAAGGCCTGATGTAGATGTAAATGTTGGTTTGTCAGATCGCCCACCATGGTTTTGCAGGTATTGATCCACCTATGTATCAGAGAATGCTCTGCCTTCTTAAAATATGATGTCTTGTTTCAAAACTATTGTCCCAAAAAGGAAATTTATTTCCTCAAATTTTAATTAAAAATTTGAAATGAAGTGTATTATCTTAAAAAAATTAGAAGTGTAAAAAACAGGTCAAGTATGTAATGTTTAGTTGGATAAAAAAAGTACAATTATATCTGGTATTCGACAAAAGTTAGACCTGGCCAAAATTTAAAAGTTGTGCCTTGATAAATCATGACTTTATTGGATGGAGGGAGTCCAAACCGTCTCAAGTCTCAACTTATGGTTATGTAAGAATTAGGATGTTTTCACTTTTCAATTGGACGGAAATTGTCTGGTCAAGTTTGGTCTGTTTAAGTATGATATGGTCTTATATGTTTAAGTCTGATTTGGTCTGATCTTAGACGGAAGTCAAGTGAAAACATCCTTAGCAAATAGAGGAACTCATTCCTTTCTGTCAAGTGTATGTGATGATTTGTGTATATGCAGTCTATGCAAGACTAAAGCTTCTAGCAAACAAACACTCCTTCTCCATGCTGATGGTAAGAAGCATAGAGCAAAAGCACGAGCTTTCCATGCAGCCAACCAACAACAGTCTGGGAAGACTGAACCAAGCAATCCAGAAGAAGTTCCAGAGAGAAAATCTAGTGAAGAACCCAATGCACTCAAACCATCTGAAGCAGATAATACAGAGTTACACTCGAACAAGAAGAGGAAGCTTGAATCATCCCAAAATGGTGCGGTCAAACAAAGAGTTGGAGAGGAAAAATCAACCAAGTTAGGAAATGGTGAAGCTGTTCAGCTGGAGAAGCAAAATGTGGGGGAAACTAACATTCATGACAAGAGATCCGAAAACATTGCAGGGGTAGAAGTAGCAGCAGCAGATAAAGTAAAGAAGATTAAGTGGAAAAAATTGATCACCTCAGCTTTGAAATCTGTATGTCCTTCCCCTTTTTTGTATTTCCTTCAAATAATTCACAAAGTTATCGATGCATTTTGGTTACACAACTACTACATATTAGGTTATTTTCACTTTTGATATTTGGTTTTCATTTTTTCCCACTTTAGTTCCACTTCGGTCTTTTTATTGACTTCTAATGAAAAACTCATCTGGTGTACCAAAAGTGGAAACAATGAAATATGTGGATCCAATGTGGAAATGACTTGATAGTCATGGGACTAAAAGTATAATATTATTTTCTTTTGAAAAGACATTTTTTCTAAATTTGATAGGCATCTACATTCTCAAACAATCACATTTTGCATGTCTGTGTTACATTTGGAGCAGAATCCAGATGATGGTCTTAAGTTTAAGAAACTTAAAAAGGCGGTTCTCAAGTCTCTAAGAGAATCAGGCTACACAAATGATGAAATTAAAGTTCAAGATATTCTTGAGAAGAAAGTGAGTTGTTCCTTCCAGCTGTTTATTGTTACTTGAAGTAATGACTGGATGATTTATGCGTCTGCTTGTTTTTTTGGTTTCTATATAGATTACTAAGAGTGCTAGGTTTGCTGTTGAAGGGAAGTTTGTTCGTCTTGTAGCTAAGAGCTGAATCCATGATTTCGTGGGTTCCGTGTGAAAGACGAGTTTTTGGAGATAATTCTCAGATGATTCGAGAGGTGTATTGACTATTGATCCCCGTTTTTTGTAAAACCCCATAGCTTTTCCCAGTCTCATAATTTATTTGTCAACCGGGAACTGTTGTATCGTTGAAGAGACACTACACATTTCTGCCAATGGAAAATGAGGAATCACTTTTTTTGATATTTCATTTCGAACTGAATGATAGAGGGCTAGTCCATGAAGTAAAGCGTTGTGTTTGTTTTTTATACTGTATGTGTCCGTAAAAAATCCATTACAAGTTTACAACAGAGCCATTTTATTTTTTGTAAACGATAACTGTTTCATGGCATCAAACTCTTTATACTTTCCAAAGTTTGTTAGTATAAGGATGTTTTTACTTGGACTGTAATTTGCCCCAGTCCAGACCAGACTAGGGGTGGACTCGGGCCGGTTCGGGCCCGGTTCGGGCCTGGGCCCGGCCGGGCCTCGGGCCAGAAATATAGGGCCCGGGCCCGAACCGCCGGGGGGCGGTTCCGGTTCCGGTTCCGGGCCAAACCGGGCCGGGCCGGGCCGGGCCGAACCGCCCAACTTAATTTTTTTTTTTTTTTTGTTCTCATTTTTAACCCCCTACCCCTCCCCCTCAACCCCAAACTACCCCAAACCACCTCAAATGGCCCAAAATACCTAATCCAACCCAAAATTTAAAAAAATTTCAAAAAAAAAAAAAAAAAAATTTAAAATCCGGCCCGGACCGGGCCCGAACCGGCCGGGCCGGTTCGCCAAAATCAGGGCCCGAGCCCGAACCGGTATCCCTCCGGGCCGGGTGGCCCGAACCGGTTGACCAACCGGTTGACCGGGCCGGTCCGGGCCCGCACAGTAGCGGGCCGGTCCGGTTCCGGGCCGGTTGGCCCGGCCCGAGTCCACCCCTAGACCAGACTAGACCAGACTTGAATAGTTATAAAAATACAAAGAAACCAGACCAGTTCAGACCAGATCAGACCAGACCAGACCAGCAAATTACAGTCCAAGTAAAAACATCCTAAGTGGATAACTAATACTGTCTTTGCTTAACTCTGACATTATGTAAAAATAATTTTCGCAATGGAACTAAAAAAACCTAGCGAGTGGTGAATCCCTGGAGTGTGGTGAAGGCTGGTGGCTTATGAGTTATGTGCTCGTGAGACTGTGCATGTAGTGCGGCAAATCGGCGATCGATGATGGATGGACCATAGAGTGCGGTGGACGGTTGTCTCTTCTTCTCCTATATCAGCAACGGATGTGGATCGTATTAAAACTGTCAGTTTTTTTTTGAAATGAGAGGACTTGGTTATTATTAATAACCAAGTCTATCTTTGCTCATCGCTTGTGACACTTGGCCAATAAATAAATGGAATTGCGCTATACAATAATGAAAATTTGATTTTAAAACTTGGATCTATTTAAAAACAGTTTTGAGTCTAAAAACCTTCACTCATCGTATCTTCAAATTTATTTATTTATTTATTTATTATGTATGCAATATTTGTGTCATACAACAACATTACCCCAATGCCGTAAATGATCACATCTATGATGGGGTAAGGGGGTCAAATGTACGAAGACTTACCCTTGTACTAAAGCACAGAGAGACTGCTTTCGCATGCCTCATAATTTCATAAACATATAATAAAAAAATGTCATATGAAAGATAATGTACGGAGTAATAGTTACTATCTCCGTCCCTTTTATATTGGGACAGAAGAGGGTGATACGAGTTTTAAGAAAAGTGGGTTTGTGTGGTTGATATTAATTGATAAAGTAAGAATAAAGTAAGAATGATTTTGAGTCACACAAATTTTACCAAATAAGGTATGGGACAATTAAATAGGGACATCCCAATATGGTAAAACGGGACATTTAAAAGGGGACGGAGGGAGTATGATTTTTTTTGTAAAAACTGAATTTAAAATAAAAAAGTTGTAGAAATTTTAAAAAGAAAGATTTTTTTATTTGAGTCCCATGAACTGATTTCAGATTTGCTAGCTTCCTTTCATCATTTCCGACAACAAGGGAAAGCCGCCTGCTGAATGGGCGATGGCTTAGAATAACCATCCCTTTATGCTTTAAAGCTATGATTAATTAGTAGTATAAGTTCAATGCCCTGATCCCAGATAGTTCGGATCAAGGTGCTAGCAACGATGAAGGATGAGTAACAACGTTCTAAATTTTCTTTTTAAAGGATGGATCTTTTTAAAGGATGGACAGGCATATTTATTTTTGAATGGAGCAATTGAATTTTGGATAAATGAATTCTTCATCACCCCTGACTAAAAGGGATGCCTCTATTTTTATTGAAGCAGTGAAGGAATCTACATCATTCATGAGTGCGTTGTATAAACAAACATATACAACTACTATAAGCACGCATATACATACAATTGGATGATGTCTCTCTCTCACTCTCTATGTCTCTCTCTGTATAGATCATTCAGGCACACAATTCACCAAACTGGAGGATCATACTTGTAAAGAGTGTTCTTCAACCCCATGACAGTACAGCTCTAGTAGGGATAAAGTTACAGTAGCAGAATCACAACAACAATCAACAGCACTACAGAACATGCCATTGCCTGTCATGCATTAGAAACCAAAATTTTAGCCATAATAACTACCACCTACCTGGGTTTTTTAAGAAACAGAAGTCATCTTTATGATACTACAAACAACATTACAAACAATACTCTTCTTTTCTGCGGTGGAATTATATAAAAACATTCTAAAGTGCAGATAAAAGTATTATACTCCATTTTGGAACATTCCACTTTTAATGTCTTTTTATATATATAAAAGATGAACTTTGTTCGTCATCACGCTTCACCACCCACGGTTCCACCATAGGGTCGTTGGTGTTGTGATTCTCGGAACGTTTGTTGCGGAACCCGCCCAAGGGGAGAAACCGTAATGTAACAGCGCACTAGCATACAGACCCTAAGATTGGGCAGTATGTATCGCAAGGAGGATATTACGGACCTGCTTCGCAGAGGACCTCAGTACATGAGGAATTGACCAACCATTCGGTTGGCCTTGGTAGGGAACATCCCTACCCCTCAATTGGTTGCCAGTAATGTCTTGTTAACTATAACGGTTTATAATGAGAGTGAACCAAAAGCTCATATGCTTTTTCTTAATTAGTAACATAAACAAAGTGACAGGACCAAAAACAGACGTCTCATCTTCACATCTGTGCCCAAATGAACTGAGACAGTATCTTTGGGGGTGCAATCCTTTAAGATTTGTTGTGATTTTCGCTAATTCTGCCTAAAATGACATTTTAGTAAAACCATTTATGATTTCTTGCTATTTTGGTCAACTCTTAAAAAATTACTGATTTAATCACAACTTTACATAATTGATGTAATATTAGCCAATCCATGAAGATGATCAAAATCGAACGACACAACACATGGTTTGGCAGATGCTCCAGACCTAAAAAATGGCGCCACTAATGACCGATTTCAAACCATTATTAAAATAGTGACCTTAGAGTTCTTACCGCAATTGCAGATGCAGCCAGTCCTGCACGTTCTCTGGGATCCCTCCGGTAGTAATTACCAAGATAGAGTATTGCAGCGTAGTACCACATAAATGGGCATACAATTCCAGAAAGAAATCTAGCATCAACAAGTCAAATATGAGGTGTAAAAGAAGATATTCCATAGCTTGTTTGCCTCTGGGTTTTGGACGGAAGGGTAGGAGAGGGCGATTTTTAATTTTTACACATTCAGATAAAAAATAGAATATAAAAACTATGTAAAAGTACATGTTTTAACTAATCATATAGTTATTTCTAGTCTTAAAATAAAAAATACAGATAGATTACTAAAATTATAAATTGATCCTCCCCCATCCCTTCCCTCTGAAATCCCTGAACCAAAAAAGCCCCTAAGGGAAAGCAACTAGGGAGGGATGTGAAGTGCTTACGAAAACCATCCAATCCCACAACCAAAGCAAGGAAGAGGTCTATCATATAAACTTGCTTGACCATCTTCTACACTTCTTAACGGACTGTACTTTCCCTTGTTACGGTCATCCCCTTTTGCTCCTTGCCCTATATATACAGTAACCACACTCAGTAATCAGCATTCTTGACTCTAGTAAGAATTTAAAAAACTAATATAGTCAACCATATGACCACACCATGCAAAACAATAATAGAATTCAAAGCAATCTTATAATAGAATGAGATTATATCATTTTTGTTTGACTTAAGAAAAACCGTTGCTAAAAGGGACATCTATATTAATGAGCTGATAAGCTTACATCAAATAACTTTAAAGGTGCATTGGAATTTGGATGCATAAATGGAAAATTTGCTCCAGTGCTCAAACAAGTGAAGACCTTTCCTACATTTATTAGGGGCCCTTATTCATTGCTTAACCTACTGTTCTTAGTCAAGAAGTGGGAAACTTAAGTATGATTAGAAGGCTCTAGACTCTAGAGTACATGTAACAAGCTCATTAACAGTACTCATTCTGTGCCTTTATGAGAGATACACTTCCCTTATTTGAGATCTCTGAATTTTTTTTTTTGATCATGATCTCTGAACTTTTTAACTTTAACACTTTATACTTTTATCTATGATTTCATCTTTTACTTTTTGTGGACCTATACCAATTTTATTCTCTTTTTAGAATGTTAAAATGGAAAAATATCAACTAAATCTTTTTCCCCATAAAAATCATCTTAATCGTGTCAAAAAAATCATTTTAGACATCACGGAGAACTAATCATCAACTGTAACAAAGAAACAACCTTTAAACAATGAATAGTACCGAGATGATGGCCTCAAAAGATCAAAATGCTTGTCAGAAACAGATCTCGCCAATTCAACGCCATCTCTACTTTCTCCATCCTCAAGAGTAGTTTCTGTTTATAGAGAATGTAGTCTGAATCTATATTCACAACAAGGTCTCTACTTATCCCTTACATATATCTTCCTCTCTTAATATATATCTGTAACAGAACAGGTAGGAACAAAGGTTCTATAGAGGATGCTTTAACAAACCGTTTTACCGGAACTCTTCTTTTACTTGCTACCTTATCTTAGTCAACCAATCATTCATATTCAACAACAGATAAGCATAAGCGCTCTTAGCTAAGATACAAACATGTATCTTAATTGTCATCTGTATCAGAAAAGATTGAGACACGGATGCTATGTTTATTTCAATTGCTAATGAATATGAATATCAAAATTTTTATCTCTATCAGAAAAGATTGAGACATGGATGGTATGTTTACATCGAGTACTTTACACATCCTGGATGTACTGGAAAACAAACAGTCCATTATGATAGAAAGAACCATTTTTAAGACCTCAATTTTTTGAGAAATTATGAACAAGAGCACAATAAGGATGCATCATAATTTGTATTTTTATTGTCATCTCTATCAGGCATTCAGACAAGATTAAAACAGGGATGCTATATTTATTTAGATTGCTAATAAGTACCACTCTTTCCATTTCTAACAATTTTTCTAATTAAAGCTACAACCTTGAGTACTAGAGTAAACAGCCCAATGTAACAGCACTAACCAATTTTTATGACATCAGTTTTTTAAGAACTTGAAAAAAGAACGAGCCCAAAAAGAATGATGCAATATCATTTTAGTTAAATTAAGTGAGGACATGAAGTATAAGTCAGATGTGGAATCAATTTAATTACTTGGATCCATTTATAATTCTTGGGAAATGATGTTTTCAGTTTGTTGAGGCAGCCCCTGCTAATGTCCCTTTACTATACCTGCACACAAGGTTATGAAAAAGCTCTAGAACACAACCGTGAATTGCAAAAATAAATATAATTTTAAGGGAATAAATAACAGCTCGTAAAAGTACTTCATGAAATACATGAAACAGCCCTTGAATATTAATCACAGTGACTGATTTAAGGTTGTTGAACGTTTATCATAGCATCGCCTTAATGCTTCAAGTTCATATCGTTGTAATAAATAATGTGCATTCAGTTAAGAGATCCGAGAAGAACAACTAGAACCACATAAACAAACAAACAAACAAAAACCATATCTTCCATTGCTCAAGAAAATACTTATTGCTCTTCAAAAACGGGAAATTGTACAAAAGAGAAATGCCAATCTATAGAAGACCAAAGAAGCGACAGAGAGCGTCTACCAGCAATTTACATTCAATTAAAAAAGAAATCCCATCATAACCTACTAATTCCCTGTCATCTGTGTGTCCTAACACTTTGCAGAAAAATCACCAATGCAAAAACTATGTAATTCCACCCGAGTTAGAGCTAAATCAGATTCATATGGTCAAGAACTAACAATATAAAGGAAAATTGCAATGAATGAAGAATACCCAACTCAAGAATGAGCTCATAAACTAATTCACATGAATGATTGCTCCCATACAAGATGCATATTCTAGGAATATACTCTCAGACAATTGCCACAATCGATTGAAGTTCAGGTAATGCAAATCATTAGAAGGGTAATCAAAATTGAAATGTTAAATTAATAGGCACTTAATGCATAAATCACACGGAGATTCTTACTTTCTTTCATTCTTACTTTCTTACTTTCTTTCTTTCTTTCTTTTTCAAGAATCAAAGGTTAACTGAGGATGCTTACTTGCGTGGGGGAAGAGAACTACGAGAATTGTGCTTGATTTGTGGCTTTGAGCTTTGGATCATCAGCAATTCAGCATATAATAATTCCAGTAGGGAGGTCTTGAAGGGAGAGAGAGGGTACGAGTCTACTGTTTAGTCGCTTTTATACTTTTATACTTCGTATTAACCAACGAGTATTTCTCCGTATTAGCCATTATTTTATACGGATAGTATTTTGCAAGTGAAAGAAAAGCATACGGATTTATTTATTCTTCTGCCCTGTATTTCTTCTTTTTAAATTAAATAGAAGCTATATCTCTGTGACACTAATAAAGAGACAATCGCATGTTCAAATCTCATTCCAGTTCAAGAATTTTGATCTTAACATAAAACATATATTATAATAGATCAGAAAGAATTGCCAAAAAAGTATAATAAAAATATAAAAATGTAATTTGAGCAAGTCAAAATGTAAGATGTCTAATATATACCTTGAAGGAATCTTGCAAGTCTTCAAATACATTTTTTTGTTGTACCTTCTCACACCCACACGCACACATGGTATGTATCTATTTTGTTAAATGTCGGCGTCATTAACTGGGATGCGTTTTGAACATGTGACATCATTTTCTAGAGTGACATAATGATGTTATTGAACCTCAAAGTGCTTGCCATATAAACTTTTATTTTAGATTAACAAAACTCTAATTTGAATTGATTGACTGATAGAAAAGTAGATTTATTTTTCACTATGAAGGAAAACGAAGTTGTCATCGGATTATTATTATTTTATGAAATAAAAGAAGAAAATTGAAGAAGAAAGAAAAAGGAAGGAAAGAGATAGTCAAAGATATTGACGAATAGGAGTATTTATGGCCACACACAAAAGACTACTTGCTAAACTTTTTAAATGTGCATGATATCATGAATAATTGGTTGCCATTAGTAAAAAAATTCCCCCAAAAAAAACAAAATAGGAAAATTAAATTTATTTACATTAATATGACTAACAGTTAATATAGTGTAATGTCATGGTCTTTTAAGTTTTAAAATTAAACATTAGTCACTATGATTAAGTTACTACTATATTCACTAGTCGCATTTTTGTAAACAAATTTTATTTTAATCATAAATATGTAATTATTTCTAGTAAAAAGTTGACTCTTAAAATTGATTAGTGTGGATTACAATAAAACAAAATTTTTATAGAGTCTTACATGATTTCACTATAGAGTCAATAGACTTAGGTGGCTTCATGATTGCCACAAATTTAATTAATGATTTAATAATTTGTGATGCCATGTTAAAAAAATAAGGAGGTAAGGGTCTGATACTCGAAATTGCATAAAAAGGTCAAACAAGTCCTTATATAGGAGACTCTGTCTGGCCGTCGTCATTTGGGGTGGTTCCCGATGGAATTTTTTGACGAAATTTTTTTAGAATCTTATTCATTAAGTCTAGTTTACCCATACCAAATTTTATCTAAAAATTCAACCGGGAAGACATTCAAATGAATTGTAGAAGATAGTTGCGCAGTTAAAAGCGCAGTTATCTTCAAGAATTCATTTGAATGGCTTTCTGATTGAATTTTTAGCTGAAATCTGGTATGAGTAAACTAGACATAATGAATAAGATGCTCAAAAAATTTCATCGGAAACCGCCTCAAATGGCGACGGGCCGGACAGTAAGGACTTATTTAACTCTTTTTATGCAACTTCGAGTATCAATCTGACTCTTAACTCAAAAAATAAGTGACTATATTATTAGAACATATCAAATGCTACAATATATATGGTACATGTGTGACATGAAAGAGACAAAAAAAAGTAAATTTATGACATTTGTCGCTTTTTCTTTTTACAGTTTTATATGTTTTGGTAATTTTTTCTCAACAATGTCAACTACAATGTCTACATGTAGACATTGCGTTTGATATTGTAGAAAAATTTTTGTTAAAATGATATAAGATCGTTCGATTATGAAGAAAAATATTTTATTTATTATTTGTGAATTTGCTATATTAGTGTTCACATTTTTTATGCTCTCAAGTCATTTAAGCCATGTTTCAATTTTAACTGTGAAATTTGACTGTTATTTCGTACACGAGCATTTTTTGAATGGTAAAAGAAAAAAGTCAACAAAAACAGCTTCCTCGCCCTCTGTTATCTCAGCATGTTTTTCATTTTCTCATCAGCAATCAACTCATCAATATCAATATCGCAGACAAAAGATTCAGAATTTGTTCTTCTAGTCTAGTCTAGGAGATAATAATAAGTATATACACCCATTTGCTCGAAAGAATTCGATGAAGAAAGGAGCTTTAGCCCCAACGCTTAAGCTCTCTCTTCCTCCTCCTGATGAAGATGCTCTTTCCAAATTCCTGTACTTCCCTCTCGCTCTTCTTCTTCATATTGATGTGTCTATTTGTGGTTTTGCGTATATATACTGTATATAAATCAGCTAATGCATATACTGTGTAGGACTCAATCAGGAACATTCAAGGATGGAGATCTGCTGGTGAACAAAGATGGACTTCGAATCGTTTCTGAGAATCAAGTTGAAACTGTATGGTTTTTAATCCTTTTATGCATTATTTCGGTTAGGGGTTCGGGCAGGGGTAAGATTTAGTTTAAGAGCTGCCTTTGGGCGTTTTGTTTATTGAATGTAAATATTAATAAGACATGTGGCTCCTTACAATAGACCAATATTGAGATATGTGTGCTCTTTTTGAACCTTTGTCAGATTGATCACTTGTTTGAGACTTTGAGCTTAATTGGTTTTATGTTAAACTCATGGTTTTGTCTTAAAAAGTTAACATGATAGGAGTAGTAGTTCAATTACTTATATGCGAGCTTATATCTTTATATTTGGACGGTATAAGAAGGCTTAACAAAGAAAACTTTAGTCATCTGCTAATCTAGTTGAAAATAATGTCAGTTTACAAAAGCATAAGAGAAAATGACTAAATGATAGAGTATCTTAGATAACATGATTACCTCATGAAAAGTAAGGTATGATTATGGCAATGCAAGGAGAGGGGGTCATTGAAGGTAATAAGTCCTGTTTAGAAGGGTTGCGAGTTTACAATATTTGGGTTTTATGCTTTTAAACATATGCTTTGCATAAGGTTGCCATATTCTTGGCAATGCTACTAGTGTGGGTTGAACTTTTGGTTCACAATGTTCTTGATTGTAAATTTCAGTCTTCAGTTATACAACCTGCGGATAACCAGCTAAGCTTAGCAGACTTTGAATCCATTAAAGTTATTGGGAAGGGAAATGGCGGGGTTGTGCGTCTCGTTCAACATAAGTGGACCGGTCAATTTTTCGCTCTCAAGGTACGTTCTTTTCTATAGATTCAAAGTGGAGTTCTGTGTATAATCGACCTCGTTTTCTTTGCACGCCTTATTGCATACTGGGTTTAGATGGTGGTCTCTAAAGAAGCAAATTTGGTGTTTATAGAATAAATACCCGATTTAGTCCCTTCGCTCTACAGTTTACTTGACTCTAAAATGTGGACCCTTAGTCCCCATACTGTCATGCATATTTGATTGTAAATATGAAGAATATTTTCACTATTTTGTTATTTCAATAAAACTAGATCTACTTATGGAATTTGGTCCAATTAGCCTGTAAGGTACGGAAATGCATGGGGACTAAATTAAGTCTATATGGCATAGTTGAGGACTGAATGTAGTCTAAAGGAATATATTCAGTAATAGTATATACTATATCGTTGAGGACTTGAGGGACCAAATCAAGTATTAACTAGTATTAACTAGTATTTACATGTGGGAACATTCTTCTTCTCTTCAGACTATATCTCACATCATAGGTAAAGATTATCATATGGGCATGTGGCACACATTCATTGGCTTATGATCACATGTCTAACTTTTCATTACCCAATGAATGTGTCACATGGGAATGTGGCCCTAGCGTACATCTGTAATGTCCCTCCTAGCATTTTCTTCTTCTTCTTTCTTGTCATCTTATGTGAGGTAATTTTGATACGAATGTGTTCAGGTCATTCAAATGAATATAGATGAGACTATTCGTAGGCATATTGCAAAGGAACTGAGAATTAATCAGTCTTCACAATGCCCTTATGTTGTCGTGTGTTACCAATCTTTTTTCGATAATGGCGCCATCTCCATAATCCTTGAATACATGGATGGTGGATCTCTTGCAGATTTTTTGAAATTAGTGAAAAATGTCCCTGAACCATATCTTGCTGCTATCTTCAAGCAGGTAGGCTGTAAATTTGGTACTCTATGGTTATCGTTGGAGGAAAAGCAAAATATTCGTTTTTTATGTTTTGGTACCTTGGTAAATACAAAGGAAAACCATATTTGAATATTTAATCTTTACATACATTTTAACTCCTTCATCTTTATATATAATAAAAAGGGTTTTTTCTAGATATTACTAAAACATGGTCATAGAAAAATTATGATTGATTAGTTACCATAGCCACTGTACAAATCTTACCACAGCCGCTGCAATGTGAAATAGAACATCAATGTACTTTGTACTTACCACAACTACTCCGAGAATACCACTTTGGTTGATATGTATCAAAACTCATATTTTTGTCAACTACTTTTATTTTTTAGGCATAATTTCTGATAGAAGTTTATAAATTAATTGAGTTTGGAGTCTGGACAGAAATCTAAAATCTATTTTTTTTGAACTTGAACCATTTTTAAATTTATTTTCCTTAATTTGTATTTTCTTCAAACTTCCCCTCTATCTTTCTCGATATATTCTTTACCCATATTTTTCTGGCTCCAAACAAACCCTAGACTGCACTAAATCTGGTTAATTACTATGCTGTTAGTGTAACCTTTTTTGCTGCATCAAGCAGGTACTCAAGGGATTGTGGTATCTTCATAATGAAAAACATGTCATTCACAGGGACTTGAAGCCTTCAAATTTGCTTATGAATCACAGAGGGGATGTTAAGATAACCGATTTTGGCGTTAGTGCAGTACTAGCGAGCACATCCAGTGCCGCTAATACCTTTGTCGGCACGTACAATTATATGTCTGTGAGTATAGCTGGTCGAGTGGGCATATGCACACTTTTTTTTGCAAGCATTGATCTTATTTGTGAATGAAATGCAAGCTGTGATTTGATAGAATATATAATTGAGTTGGGATCACTCATTTAGGTCCGGTTATATGCAAATAAAAAAAACTAAAAGATTGAATCTATATGATTAGCCGACCCCAAATTCTTTTGGGATTAAGGCTTGGATGTTGTTGCGGCCTTGTATGTTGGTTTGTATATTTACATGTGGCTGGTATGAGAGGACTTAAGTTATCGTGCAAGATGGTGGTTCATTGGAGTAGACTACTCTTGAAATCTGTGAACTCGTTCATGAGGCTTATCAAATAGGATTATAATATTAAGACCTGAGATTATATCTTAAAAGCTTAACCACTTAACCAAATACGATGAGTAACATAAAGCTTTACATGTTAATTTCTACTCTTATATTTGGATGGTATGCTATGGGTCATCCGGAAACAGTCTCTCTGGTACTTTAGTACAGGGGTAAGACTGCGCACATCCGACCCCCTTACCCCATCGTAGATGGGAGCCTTTGCGGCACTGGGGTAATGATGATATTTGGATGGTATGGTATTGTTTAATACTTTCCACTAAGTTTCCTCTAATATTTTGATGTTGTAACCTGTTATGACACAGCCAGAGAGAATTGCTGGAAGCAGCCACGGGTATAGCAGTGACATATGGAGTCTAGGGTTGGTTTTGCTCGAGTGTGCAACAGGCAATTTCCCATATCGCCCACCCCAACCGGAGGAAGGATGGGATAATGTTTATGATCTTATGGAAACTATAGTTGATCAACCAGAGCCTCGTGCGCCTTCTGACCAGTTCTCACCAGAGTTCTGCTCATTTATCTCTTCATGGTATGTGCTAACTTTTTCATGGGAATAGATGGTAGTTTCCCACTGACATTATGCTTGGGGACTTCCTAACGGAGGACAAGAAAATGAAAATAACTGTATCATCACCTCTTGTGCTTGGGTTGAGGTAAAAAAAGAGGACGCGAATGAAAGTAAATAACTTTGTGCTTTATTATTTGATTGATTGATTTTGGGGGGAAATAAATCTTATACATTTACTAATTTAACCTTCATAAGACAAACAAAAGAACTCGAAAAATTTAAAAGTTGGATAAAAGGTAATTTTTTTAGTTTTTTACTGAACAATGCATTTTCCTTCCATTTTAGGGAGAAAGAGGAGGATGGGAAATAAGGTATAATTTCCTCTACATCCTCGTTTTCCCTTAAGCCGTAAATCGTGCTCTGTTCATGGGTCTGCTTTTCTTTTTTTGCATCCTGGGATCTCCTGTAGTCTAACCAATCATTGATCTGATAACTATCAAATTTAGTTAATCTGAACATACACTTCTCTATCACATTCATTTCTTTATTTAAATTTGTTAACAGCCTAAGAATTTCGATTGGGATAATCAAGACAATCATATGCAAGTCTCCTTTGATCTTAGGAACACATTTAGGATCACAGAGTATTCCTGCCTTTGTAGCAGTCTTAGTAATAGATAGTCAGATACCTACCCTAAAAAAGAAAAGAGAAAAGAGAAGGAAAGAAAGAAATAGTTTGTTTCAAAGATGTTCGTCCCGAGGAAGAGTCAAATGTAATAAAAATGGAGCTCATGTTTCGTGTAATTTGCCAAAAAAAAGTTGTAAAAATGTAATATGATTAATTTAGTTCAATATAAAATTTTATAATTATGAGTGAATTTTTATGACTTTTAAGTCATACATTGAGTCTCTGGCAATAATTAAAAGTTGTACCTTGACCAAACATGAGACTTTTCTCGATTGAGTGGTATATCTTATTAACAAATGACTTTCTTGGTTTGGGTGATGATTGTTCATAATCTTATAGTTGTTGTGACTTAATATAGTGTGCAGAAGGACCCTAAGAAAAGACTTTCTGCAAATGAATTAATGGTACTGAAACTACTTTGCCTTTGCTCCCAAAAGCTGATTTTCGTGCATTGATTTGTCTTGACCTGTAGTGACTAAGTGCATTGCCACTATACGCAGAGTCACCCTTTCATCCATATGTATGACAATCTGGGTATAGATCTTGCATCTTACTTCACAGCTGTTGGACCTCGACTAGCTTCGTTTGAGATATAATCGGTATGCTACATTGCTTCACTTTGATTGAGATATAATCGGTACTTGACTACTTGTAAGATCAAGCATACTTGTGAGATCGCCAAGACAAGTCTATACATTCATATAATAATTTGGCAAGCGTTAAATTAGCGAAACAAGAATCAATCCTCCACTCCCCTCCAAAATCCCCAAACCAAACTGGACCTTATTATCCAGCCACCTAGTTGCTAGTGCCTTTCATTTGTAATGATATTTTGCAAATCCCACTAAGGTAGTAAGGTTTATGAAATGGCTCGGCTAGTGCATCCCTTTGATATTGGTGAGAGAGCGGAGGGTTGATTCTTGTAATACTTTTTCAGTGACACTTTGGTCTTTAAACCTTTTGGTTGAATATTCAGGCAGGCATACTTGTTTGAAGCTTGTGTGAAGTGTCTCCTGACATGGCCACATAGCGTTTTTAGGCATCCAGTTGCAACATATCAACATGAAGATATATGAGAAACATCTTTAGTTTGCTGCATGAAAAACATTGAGCGAGATATGAATTTTTAAAAAATAACCATGGATGTAATTGTGCCCATTCTTTGTTTAAGAAAGATGTAGACACCGCTAAACCAGAATTCCATTTCTTCTCTTGTACCACTGTATGTTTGTTTTTAGTACTAATCTATGTCCTTATTTCCTGCCAAATGGTAATGGCAATTTGTTAAAAGAACATGTAGTCTTCCTCATGGCCAGAAGTGTTCCTTGGCAGCCTTAAAAAAATTACTAGTGAGAATCCATCAGAGAAACACCCAAGCATGTGCATATATTTGATACTCTATGAGATTGCACTAACAAACACATTAAAATAACTTTAAAAAAATGCTGACAATGAATTTGAAACATGATGCATAAAGATATAGCACCAAGTATGCATATGTTCCGACCATCTCGTTTCGAGAAATTGTACATGCAAGTGCTGCGAAAGACCAATTTAGTGAATAGTATGAATTTTCATTGCAATTCAGAAGAAAAGGGGTTAGTGATTCCTTGAACTCCCACGGTAAAGATCTCGGAAGTTACTTTTCTATGAAATCTCTAGACGCCAAAAGAGGGCGCACGGGTCCTTTGGCTTGGAGTACAACCCTTCCTTACCCCCCAAAAGAAATGGTATGTAGAATGGTTAGAAGGTAGGAACTACTCCAACATTGAGATGGTCATAGCACAAATCAAGTAAAGCATGTTCGGAAAAATGATTTAATCACTTCATTATAAGTGCCTGTGGAAATATGCAAATTAAAAGTACCATATAAAACGAGATTGGTGGGTTTAGGAATTAGGAGGCAACTGACCGTATGCTCTTTGATTCTGTCGCAGCCCGAACGGACAAATTACATGAGTGAAAATTTATGGTTGTGCAATCTGACAATCTCACGTGGATAATTCGCATTGTCCATTTTTCCCTTGATAGGGAATGTACTAATGTAGTGTGCAAAGTGGGCTATGATTGATTCATAAAGGAGGGTGTGTACTGCATCATCAAGGCACTTAAATCGAACAAACAATTAGATGGAGTGTCAAATTTAATTATAAAGATCACATGATTAATAGAGTTTTTAGTTTACACTATGGGGGTGTTTATTTTGCACGTTTTCCGCCCAAAATGCGGGAGGTATCAGCGTTTACACAACAACGTTTTCATCCCAGACGCTAATAATCAAATATCATCTATATACTGCCACAATCTCTTTAGCAACTTAATCATTCGTTTATCATTTGTCACAACTTGTTACTTTATATCTCTCAAATAAAGTAATTTACTTCATGAATTATCTTTCAAATTTCTATTTTTTGCTTGTAAGCAAATAATTTGTGATTGATAGCATTTATTACAATTTGTACACATTTCATTCATTCTCCACCTTGCAGTTTCAACTTTCTTGATTCTCATACAATTTAGAGAAGGGAAGGAGGGAGTGTAGAAAAACTTAAAATTTGTTTTCAAACTAATCTTTTTTTTTTTTTGGTAAAAGTTTTCAAACTAATTTGATTGCTTATGAATTGAACTTGTTTGGCCAAAAAATGCCTTTATTGTAACTATTTCAACTTACAACTTTATAAGTAGCAAAAAGAATTCTATTACATGAATCACTTCGAATAATTAGCAACTCAAAAATCAATATCTAAATTAAGATGATAAAGAATTGTGAAGTTTAGGATGGAAGCAATGTTGTGAGCAAAAAGAATCTATACAATGTGATGCAGAAGCTTGTGAGCAATTTGATCACGTGCGTGCATCGCGTTTGCCGATAGAATTGGAATCTCCGGGACAACCTCGTCGTCGTAGAGATCGAACCTTAACTCCGGCCGCAATTCATCTTCCCCTCTCATCTCGCAGATGTTATGCAGAACGCAGCACGCCCCCAGAATCACCGGCAGGTCTTGCAGCTTCACCTCCGTCCTCCTCTGGAGGCAGCTCCACCGCGCCTTCAGCCGCATAAACGCCTCCTTCGCCACCGCCTGCGCGCCGGAGATCTTCTCGTTGAATCCGTGCTGCGCCCATGTCAGGTTCTGGTGAGTGTAGGGAACTAGAGTCCAGTCCGTCAGTGGGTGCCCTGAATTTCCGGCGACCCAGAGATCCTTCAGCAGGCCCTTCTTTGCCCGGTCGAAAATCGCCGATTTCTGGAGGATTTTGTCGTCGGTCATTGATCCCGGCCAGCCGATGCAGACGTCGGTGAAGATTCCGGTGGAATCGACCACGCCTTGGACTGTCACGGTGTAAGACGTCTTGTGATTTCTCTCTGTGTGGCGCTTGTTGAAGTAGTCGGCGGCGGAGAGCTTCGGGGAGACGATGGGGATGTGCGTGGTGTACAATGCTCCGGCGACGTTTGGGATTCCGGTGAGGTGCTCGAACCGGCGTTTGATGTTGTCCATGCTCTGTTCTTCCGGCCATTGGAGGAATTTGGGCATGAGAACGGTCCTTATTGCGGCGGAGACTTCCAGAACGAGCTTGTGGCAGGTGGAGATTCCCAGCCCGAACCGCTTCGAGACCTCCCGGAGCGGTTCACCGGTGGCGAGCCGCCAGATACAAACCGCGACCCGGTGGCGGACCGGAATCGCGAGGCGGAGCGTCGTGTCCTTCTTCGTCACCGCCGGCTCCAGCTCGTCACAGATGAATTCGAAAGTCGCTCTGCTCATCCGGAACGCACTCTTGAACTCGTCCTCCGGGAAGTCCGGGCTGTTGCACCGCTCCCACCACGCGCTGGACCGCTGCTTCACCCACAGCCTCCTCTGGCTCTGCGGCGGCGTTCCGCCGCCGCCCTCCCCAGAAGTGCTGGCGGCCTCGGCGGACCCACTGCGGCCGCGCTTTCCATTTCCAGTCACCGTTTCCGCAATGAAACCCTGCCGGGACGATGAAATATCACTGGGAACCACAAAATCATCATCTGGGTACGCCGGAATTCGCTCTGTCTTGGTCATTTCTTGATCGGAGAACATTAAACAGTCAGACATCTCCTCTATTAGATGATTTGGATCATGGGTTTTCAGCTTCTTGGAGACGGGGCTGTCTGGAAAGTCAAAATCTTGGAAGAAGCTGAGCGGATTAAAGGAGAAGAAGTCGTCGGAGACTGAGAGTGGGAAAGCAGAGATTTCCATCAATTAATGAGTCCAAACCTGGTCTGCGGATGTCTTTAATCAATCAGTGGAGCTTGAAAAGGTATGGAATTTTGATTAATGGAGGTGTTTGAATGTGAACACAGGAATCGGGAGGACATATATATACGGTGGGGGGTGAGGCCCGCCACGCGGTAAGGGCGGAAGCGCGTCGGAAGTTGACACGGTGTCGCGTGGGGGTCTGACTAAGATTACGCGGGCGGAGAGTCAAACAAACGGTTTGCTGGGCCAGAGGGGAGAATACGGACAGCCACGTTTCCAATGTGATGTGAGGAAGAGTACTAGAAATTTCGACCCAAGATGATGATTGGAATACGGTGGGTCCGGCTTCATTCTTTGATAAAATTTAAAAAAAAGGCTAGGAAGAGCGGCCAAATGGACCATTTTATTATGAGAAAATTTCTTAAATTGGAGTTCATAAAAGCAAAACTGTAATACGGAGTAAAAGGTGCTTAATGTTTACATTTCTAAAATAGGAGTGAGTAATTTATTTAACTCATTTATCGATTGAATTTTAATTCGAAATTAGATGGACATAACTTACACGTCTCATAGAGAATATCCTCACAAATTTCAAAGAAAAATTTCACTTGAAAGCACTTCAAATGGAATCTTTCACATGACGGTTCTAGTTAGAAACTCTTTTATAAACTTTCAATACATGTAAACTTCATAAGGAGTATATTTAAAAAAAAAAAGTGGACTTAATATTTTTGAAAGCCCTGTGCAGAGGCACTGTTAGCACAACCCATCTACAACCATGTTTGTGCAGTAAAATATTTATCGTCAATTTCTTCAGAAATGGGCGCTACTTTTTTAGGGAGTTGTGTGTGAGTGGAGTCTTTATAGCGTTGAAAGTATTTTTAGAATTCCAATGAGGAGGTCGAAAGTGTTGGCTCCATGTCACATTTTAGAGATAAAAAATGTGAGCGTTGGAGATAAAAAAATACCATCACATTTTAAATTAATGATGCATCAAATTTTTACAATATCAAATAAGAGCATTAGAGATGCTCTTAAGATAGGTGGAACGAGGGCATCGCTTATTACTTTGAGTATCAATCGACTCACATAGAACATCTCTAATGCTATTATATGCACGGTGCACATGTGGCATGCAAGATAACCACATAAATATTAGTAAATAAATTATCTTTCTCCTTATTTGAATGGTTTTATAAAGTTTTGGTAAGTTTTTCTCCACAATGTCAAAAAAGTCGTCTAGATATTGACATTATGGTTGACATTGCAGAGACAAACTTACCAAAAATGTATAAAATCATTTAATTAAGGAGTTTGATAATTTATTTGTTATGATTTATGTGATCATCTCTCATGCCACATGTGCACCGTGCACATTGTAGCATTGAATATGCTCTTAACCTTTATGGTACGCAATACTGCACTTCTAACAGTAATGAATTTTGTCTATGTCATCGAGTGAGAAATTAGAAATATCACTGCTACTACGTGGATAACGTTTTCATTTATCTTTTAACGCGTGTCATGATATTTATAATGTTAAAAGTTTAGAATTGAACACACTCTTAGGAGCTTAAACTCATAGAATAGTAATACATGTACAATTCATTTAATACTTTCTTCATTTATTCCCACTGTAAATACTCCTTAAAAGAATAGTTGTATGAAATAGTTTAAAATAATCACTACAGATCGCTTTCTCTTTAAACTCTCATCTAATGCTTCTCGTATACCACTATTGGTATTCAAAATTAGCCATGAATGTGTTTCTTATAATGTTACAAGATGAAATCTAAAGCATTTTAGGTATAAAAACACAGTAACAATGTATGTAAAACGTTGTATGTAAAATGTGCTTAAAGTCTGGGTACTTAAATTTTGGGAGCCACTTGACGAACAATATACCTTATGAATGTGAAGAATTCATTCATGCAAAACGCATATTTTCGTGAGAAAAGAGAGAAAGAAGACTTTATCTATTATTGATTCTCAATGAAGATATTACATCGAGTACATAGCTAACAATACAAGAAGGATATAAATAGTAGTTTGACTTGTAACAAACTAACTATTCTAGAACTATCTAGTAAGATCTATTTTCCTCCAATCTTTATGTGTGCATGCATTGCTATTTCACCTTCAGCTGATATTTGTGCCACGTGTTGATTGCTGCTGCTTGCTTTTGTGCGTGTACACCAACATGCCCCCCCCCCCTCAAAAGGAAAGTACAAGTTTTGTACACTCATCTTGGATAACAAAGAGTGGAACAAAACACGGCCTAGGGGTTTAGTAAATAGGTCTGCAAGTTGGTTTTGTGTAGGAATGCAAAATGTATGAATGACTTCTTTTTTAAACCATTCCCTAATGAAATGACAATCAATTTCCACGTGTTT